GTGCAGGTGGGTGATTTGTGCGTTCACCTTCACTACATTCCTGAGAATCGTGACAGTTTGAATCGACAGGATCTTTGTGGGTTTTGACCCCCAGCAGCAGTGTAGCTGTCAAACGCTTTGTTTTCTTTTCCCCCTGCCTCCCTCATCAAGCCTGCCTTTGTCACATCTGTTTGTGATAATGATTAAAAATAGAACTAATTTCCTTTAATCCGCAGGACTCACGTCGTTCTCATCAGGAGTCCTTTCATTCACGGTTGGCTGCTGTGGAATAACAGGCTTCACCGAGCAGAACAATCCAATAAAAAGGTTTTTGAATGTGTAATAAAGGTTTCCTGCCGCCTCCTGTCTCTGCTGTCTTTCTGAAAAACCCTTCAAGTGTCAAAGAAAATGACGCGCTGTCATCTCTTGTTAGTGGAGGATATGATGAAAAGGAAGGATGATGGCTGAATTTTACTCAGTATCTTTTGAGTTTATAAACATTAAAAATTTGATTTATAGCTTCAGAAGATCAGCAACAGTTTAAAATCAGTGTCAGCAAGTCACCAAAAGGGGGCAGTAAAGACTAATAACTAATCTAATCTTTGTGAGGACCCGTGAGTTTTAGGGTTCAGTGGTGGACAGTAACTAAGTATATTTACTCAAGTACTGTACTTAACTACAAATTAGAGGTATTTGTACTTGAGTATTTTTTTTTTCATGGCACTTTCAACTTATACTCCACCACATTTCAGAAGGAGATATTGTACTTTTTACGTCATTACATTTGTCTGACAGTTTTAGTTACACAGTATGAAGTTTTGTTATAAATTAATTAAACTACCCAACAGTTTTATCAAGTACAGCTGGTACATTTGTTGATTGACGGAAATTTAATTGGCATCTATTTTGATGTTTGAAGTCATTTTTCATGTGAAAACGTTTAATTTTTCCAGCTTCACAAATGTGAAGATTCGCTGCTTTCCGCTTTGATTATTTTGATGTATTTTTAATCATTTTTGAGGTTTAGACTGACAAAACAAGCATTGTGAAGGTGTCACTTTGCGCTCTGGGCAATCGTGACAACATTTCTCACCATTTTCAGAATTTTTACAGTTGATTAACAGAGAAAACAATCACCGGATTAATCCATAATGAAAAAATCATTAATTGCAGTCTGATACAAAATGATTTAATCTCAGCTAACTACAGCAGTGACATCCTGCTTTATATTAATGCACGAGCAATAATAATCTAATGATGTAACATGTGATAGTGTAACAGTCACAGGGGACAGTTTTCATTCTGCATACTTTTATTTTTAATCCTGATTATACTTACATACTTTTACTTAAGTAACATTTTCAATGCAATAATTTTACTTGTAAGAGTGGTAATAGTGGTAGTTTTACTTAAGTAAAGGATCTGAATACTTCATCCACCACAAACAGGGTGAGAACCTGTTTTGTAAAATAAAAACAGTTTTGGAAAGAGGAGAGCTTGTTGGACACTGTTGCAGGGTGTAAATATTTTTGGAAATCAAGAACATTTGGTGATAGTTTTGGAAAGTAGAGATGTGTTAGAAATGGAATTTTGTTTTTTTACATGTCGTCACCTTCATAATTTGTTATTGTTGGTCTTTATGATTATTAATTTGGAAAGTGAGGAAGATATTTTGGCAAGGGGAGGACATTTTTGGAAAGTGACCACATTTCTGGAAAGCGAAGATGTTTTTGCAAAGAAAGGACTTTTGGCAAAATAAGAACAAATTAGCAGAATGAATACATTTAGGATTTTGAGTATAATGTAGGACAGTGTGGGCATTTTTGACATTTTTAACCTTGCTAATGGCACGGCAATGTTGGTCAAGTTGGTTGGTCCGCCACTTTGGTTCAAAGTCAAATATCTCAACAACTATTAGGTGGATTGTCACAAAATTTGATACAGACATCCATCATCCCCAGCCGATGAAGCCTAATGACTTCACCATCAGGTCATATTTTTCTTTTATCCAGGGAAAGATCACAACATCTACCGGATTACTGTGAAATTTGGTTCATACATTCACATCCCCCTCAGAATCTTTTTATTTTAATCAGTTATCAGTTCTTTAATTATCTATTGAATATTGGACATCTTGTATCATCCCTACTAACATCTCTTACTTTTATTATCAGTAGATTAACACTTGCATTGACTTTGTTTGTCTGGCATTTTTAAAGTCACATTGAAAAGGCACTAATAAAAACTTGATTAATTAGTTAACTTATAAACTAATTTATTTCAAGTTCCCGTTTCATTGTCTTTTATATTCTGTTAACTAATAGCGTTATTCACATTATTTTATGTTCATTTCATTCCTTAAAATTGTCAAGTCAAATGTGATGCCTTTTGAAAAGTTGTGTGTGTGTACTTGAGAGGGGAATGGTCCCCACTTCCTGTTCTCTGGCGACGTGTCGGTCAAATACTTCCCCCAGGAGAGAGCTTTCTCACGCTGCAGAGAATAACTGCACACACAAACAAAGAAACATCACATGGATACTGGGCGCATAAACACAGTGAAAAAACAAACAAATTTAAGGGCACAAAGTTTGAAACACAAATAACATCAGATGAGCTCATGTGTCACCTGCTGTGGGACAAAACAGTGAATTCAAACAGTTTCACAGGTGTTTCATGAATCATGCTCAACTTTTAAAGCAGGAGGCTTTATTTTAATAATTCACAGAAATAATTTTATCTCCATCTTCCCTCCACCATCCTTCTCCCTGGGTGTCACTGCGGGTCTTCCTGTGATGACGAGTCACAAGTGCCACTTCCTCCTCTGGCGACATGAGGGTCAACGGTGAAAGTTGAACAGCTGTCTGGTTTAAGTTTTTTCCCCGCTTTATGTGAGTGTGTGTCTGTTTGTGTACATGCAAAAAAAGAGGAAGGGGGGTGAGTGGGAGTTTTTGTCGGGGGCCAGTGGGAGATTAAGGCCTATGGGGGTATGGCACTTGTGCGTGTGCGTGTGTGCGTGTGCATGTGTGTGTGTGTATGTGTGTGACAGTGCCTTGGGAAACCCCAGTGAATGGGAATCTCTTACACATACACACAAATCATGGTGAAGGCTCATGTCTCTTGATTTTTATCACAAACCCTCCCACACACACACACACACACACACACACACACACACACACACACGACTGCCTCCACTCCCTCCTCTGCAGTTCAGCTGCTACCCCCAGGCTTTGGCCTCTCAGCGGAGAGTGCAGCAGATGAGATCTCAGGCTCCACATCCCAAATCCATAACCTTTATTTAACATGTTCTAGTAGTGTTGAAGTCTGTAGACCCATAGGAGCTAGACCTGGGTTTGGGGCCCCTTCAGGGGCTCACGAGTTGCAGTAATTCTGGGGGGTTTGCAAGATAATCACTAAGACTGTGAGAAACACATTTGTGTATTTTCACTTTTATCTTGTGAAACTTGTAATTTCAGCTAAATGAAACAAACATTTTAAAATCGGGATCTATTATTCATATTTTGAAAACATACAGTATTAGATATGATAATGTGTTTTTTAGGTTTTACTCCTGCATCCTTCTGCTTGGATTACACCAATTAAAGGGCCTTTTTTTAAATGATTAACTAGACATAAAAATGATGGTAATGTCATCATGTTATTTGACTCAGCTTCTTCCTTCTGGACGAAGGTTTATAGTCCCAAAGTACAGAACAAAGTGGTTTACAAATAGTTTTGTTCCACCAGGCATCACTGAGAACAAATTGCAGATGACACAGAAGCAAAATGTATTTATTTATTTATTGGGTGAAGATTCAAACCTTGAGCAAATCTACTTTTATGTTTATCTATTGTCTACTGTCTATTATCGATTGTCCATGTTGATTCTAAAATGTGAGGATGACTCTTCTATTGCAAAACAACAATTTGTATGGGTACAAATAAAGCAACCTGAACCTGAACCTGAACCTGTCACTTGCAAATGTGTCCAACACCAAGAAAGAAGAAAGCACTTTATTACTATTATCCTTCAAATGTTTTATTTATTCTTTAAACTTTATTACAGTGACAAGTGATATTTAAAGAGTACTCGCTTTACTTAATGAAAAGTAGCAATACTGTAAAATAAATATACTGTTATGAGTGAAAGCCCTGCATGCAGATTGGCCCCCTTCCGAAGTTTGTATTATTTTCTTCTAAAACTACTTCTAATGTAAACTGTAAACAGTATTCATGTTGGTCAAGATGGAGCTCAGCTTTTATATAGAAGCTTGTATTTGCACTTTTCCAAACATTATGTTGCTTCTCTGTCAAAAGGTTGACTTTATAAATATATCATCTACTGAACATGACTTTTCCATTAGCTTTTCACCTCTTCCGCTCACCACCTGCCACTGATGCAAACCCTTCAGAAGCTTACACTGATGGGGTTTTAATTAACAGCGCCCTCTTCCAGCTCTGTGCTGCAAAGCAATCTGTAACATTTCAAAATAAAATGCAGCGCAGGTAGACAGAGACTGACGGTCTTAACAGATGTCATTTGTTCAGAGATTTATTTAATGATGTTAAAATTAAGAGATCTTCATTTCCATAGCCTGACCGTTTATAGATATGTAATGACTGTATATTTTCACAAACATTTTCTGGGAAGGTTTGTTCACCAGACTTTTTTCATCCTTTATTATATGTTTTATATAATGAACCCATCCAGTAAAAGCCCGTAGCTGCTGCTGTGCTCCGTTCAGACCTTTAGCCTACCTTTTACTGTCAGTGAAAGCGCACTGTGTGGTATTATTAAATTACAACAGGCACCTTTTAAAATAGGCAAAATGTTAAAAAAAACAACGCATCTTTGAAAACAGACAGCCGAGTCAGCACCGTTGTGCTTATTCGGCTTTAATATGACCTACATTTGCCCACGTTGTCATGCGTTATGAGACACTTCAGCGGAAAAAGCCAACCACCATATCTGGGAGCGTGTGCGTGTGTGCGCGTGTGTGTGGTGCTGGAGAGCCACCATAGCGTCTCTGAGCGGACACGACAGTAAATGTACTATATTGGCATTTCCTGTCCGCGTGCGTTCGGTACAAACCGCAATAGGCTATCATAAGACGTCGCACTGGGGAATTAAGATCCGGGAAGGGACGCTTTGACCCAAACGAGCGCACACACCTGCGTCAGAGGACGGGTAAGTGCTGGAAAATGCATTTCTGTGTTATCCTTCTGTCATTCACATCCAGGCGTCAGCATCCACAGCCTGGTGTCATCCGACGTCTTCAGTTACGAGCGTTCTCTTAGTGTGAAAGACATGCGGTTTGCACCGGACTTCATTGAACAATCTTACACTTTAAAGTCATTCTGCCTCTCAGCGAATTTTGTACCTTAAACATGAACGTAAATACAATATCGGAATCATTAAAAGACACATCTTTAATTCGGCGTCGATATAATCCACCATGCATTTATATTTTAGCAAAATATGAGCTTGATTCTAACTGGGCTCCTTTGATGGACTCTTGAGGGAATCACAATCACAAGCGGGACGGTTCAAAAAGTTAAAGATTTTATAACGATAACTCTTCCCACATTCGTTTTATGTTTACCGAATATAAGAGTGAATCGAATAAATCTAGAAAATCACCTTAAGTCGCGATTTATGCATATAGATATTTATACAAACGCGTAAAACTTAAAATTGCGTGATTTCTGAATTGAGTTTTGGTTGTCTCATTGAAGGGACATTGTAGGATAGGTTATGCTGCACGACACGTGAAAGACACCAGCTTGGTTTATTATTATCTCATCCATGTTTTTGTGATAACAGCGTGCAGGAATTGCATCTCGCTGTTCTGAATCCAGCAGTTTATAACCGATAATACAGACGACAGCATGGGATTGTGTTCGCTTCAGTGCGCCCTGCTGACCTCCGACGCATTTTAATGCCAAACAAAGCGCTTTCACGTGTGAATCCCGCACCCCCTCAGATTCAGTGAGGTTTTAGATTATATGATTTCAGAGAAAGCTTCTGATCATGCATCCATTAGAAATCAGATTATAGATTTCATACTGTAAATCTTTATAAATACAAATGTATCTTTAGGCTACTACAATATTTATTCTCTTAGGATAGTTTAATAATCTATGTTTGTAATGTAGAAAAATCTGGGTCTTTTTAATTATTTAAGAGATTTCTGTGAGTAATGTCTTGTGTTAATCTGAAAGCCAAAGGATTGGACTTAATGTGTGTAATACTTAAATGGGCAAAATGTTTGCATTCTGTCCATTCAACCCCAGAAAAACTGCTGCAGATGTTTAAATCAAGTTCGCAGACCCTCAAATGTTATTAGGTCCCAAAAAAACTAGCCTACATGCCATAAGCAGATGAGGTGGTGTTACTTCAGTTGCAGGTTTGTAAACTGTACGTGTTACTGGTATGTCAGTGGGCTCTTGAAGAAGCCCATAATAAACCCTCTTCTCACCGCTAAACTGGTTCAAGTTTGGAAATCTGATAGGAGGGGAACGTTTTGTCAATGTCTCTAAAGTATAATACACCTGTACCGGAAACTACGAAGTGTATACCTTCAAAATAAACTGGCATAAATCTTCCCTTTTACCACCAGAGAAATCTTTTGAGGAAAACTGATGAACATAGAAGCAAAAAAATAAGAGCCAAATCCAGCATAGAAAATGTAATGTGGAATAAGTTAATATGTGTTTAGGGTGAAACAAGAAGAAAGTAAACAAAATAAAACAACTAGGGAAATAATCAATGGTTATATACTCAAATATAAATGAGAATAAAATACAAACTATAACTAATGAGGACGACAAAAAGGATATAAAATAATGCATGAACTCATCCAGGGTGTGCAAAACGTGCATCACTCACTATACACCTCAAAAAGAGACAAGGAGATATCAGCTCAGAGGGTAACTACCCTCAAGGGGCCTCGGGGCCCTCAGGTGTCCTGTGAGGCAATTATGGTATTTTAAATAATTAATTAATGTAAACTGAAAAGGAAAATGGTTTAAGGGGACTTGTGCATTTGCACTTAATCTTGAGACTCTGTCTTTTAGAGGGCTCCATGTGCAGCATTTAATCAACCTACAACTAAGCTAAAAAAGAGGCTTAGTAGCGGCCCACATCTCCTTTTCCCCTCGCCAGTGAGTTAATCAAACCTTAGTTTTGATTTCTAAGTATGTATTAGTCCTAATATTATAGTTTAATATTATATATATAGTTTTAGCCTTTTATTTTGAAGGAGTCCACCGGAAGCTTTCTGTCGTATTCGGTGTAGCTTGACACTGTTGGCAGAGACAGGCAGTATGCGGAGCAGCTGATGTCTTTGCTGGGCTAAAAATAATCAACTTCTTTCTCTCCAACTCACTGTATTTTGTTTCTTTTCTTCTCGGTTTTGTCTTTTTTAAATCCCAGGTTTCAGGAATGAAACGGTGTCAGTAAGGATTTTTACTTTTCATCCGAGGTAAGAGACTGTGGTGTTTCTCATTAACTTGTGTGAACATTATCTTCGCATGCCAGTAGGAACTAACATTATAGGATATATAATTTGATTGGTTTGATTAATGGAGCTGTAAGTTACTCTAACAGGTTTTGCTTTTGGTAAAAGCTGCAGGTTAATTAACTTGTCTGTCAGCTAATAGCTAGATTTCAGTTTTGTTTAACGTTACTTGATATTTAAAGGATGTGCTAAATTGGGGACCAAATTTCTTTTTGCCATAATCTAGTAACAATTTCACTGGGCTCCTTGCTTTGTTAGTGAGACAAAATAGTACACAGTTAAAGGAACATTCATATGGAATATGAAGTTATAATAGTTCCCACAGTGCCTAGTTTTCTTGTTTAATTAGGATGTGAGTATCAAAACTTAAACACAAACATCTGAAACCACATAAGCAATATAATATAGGTGTTTGCTATGAGTCTGTTTTTCCATTTTGTCCCAAACAAATGATAATTTCTCCTTAATGAGGCACCAAAATATAAGGGGCGTGTCTTGTCCCAAACAAAGATGGCCGCCAGATGCAGCCTTCAGCAGCCATCTTTGTTTTGGGGTTGGGATGGAGACATTTTCTATGTTCCAAATAGCATACTTTTTATTTTTAACATTTAGTACATATTTCAGCTACCCTTACAAAGTATTTACTGTGGCAGTATGCATACAACTGGGACGTACGACTTCGCTATACATTGATTCTCATACTCATGCTGTCCAGAGGATTGTGGGTCACAATAGCCACAAAAGGAGGCTGGCTTGTTTACTGCCAGATGCTACCAGGTGCAGTAGGACACCTTGGTGTTTACTAGTAAGGTAGTACAGGTATTGGAATGAACCTGGTATAATAAAATAGTAAAAACGTGGTAAAACTCTACTTCACTACTCTACTGTGCGTTGGAGGAAATGTTTGACTAGGCAACAAATAGTCTAAGGATGCATCGATCGATTTATTTTTCAGTCCTGATACTAATACCTGGGCTTTGGGTATTGGCCGATGCCGAGTACTGATCCGATACCAGTGTAAAATTAATAAGATGTATTCGTCACTGTGAGGAAGAGCCTTGGAATCATTATTTTATGTGTGAGGCAACATCAGGCTTGATTTAAACTGTTCTTCCTAAATTTGTAAAACAAAAAGCTATGTTAGCACTTGTAGCAAAATGTTCGGATCTACTGGCGTGCTGCTGACGCATTGTGTAGTATACGCGTAATTGAACAGATCGCCACCCTCATCACCGATACCCAATCCAGCTATCTGAGTCAGTATCGGGCCGATATCCGATATCATTGTTGGACTTGTGCATCCCTTACATAGTCGGCATTAAAACCAAAAATTTACAGATTTTCTGCTTTCATAATAGAACTTATTTAAATGTAAACGTAAATGCTCCGTGTTTGTATAGCGCTTTTCTGGTCTTTTCGACCACTCAAAGCGCTTTTTCACTACATTCACCATTTAGTAAGTTATAGAACGTCTTATATAATTTAAGTGTATTGTTGGCAGTGAACTCAAATGTAAGAAATTACATATTTATTTGTGTCTAAAAAAGAAGCACAACACTGATTGGCTTATTGAAATAATTTTAGATTTATAGTTTTGCTGTAGGGCTGAACAATTAATCATTAAAAACTTGATTGTGTGATTTTCGCTTTGCAAGAGGTGCAAAGTAAAAAAACAAAACAATAAAAACCACTAAACTACAAAGTGACACCCATAGCTGTTTGGTTAATATTCTCCCTGCACATCTAAGTTTGGCCAAAGATAGTTTAGTCGAGACAGAAACATCACTCTGAATCATTTTGTTGATGATGTTTGAAAATCAAAGAGGGGAGGTGTACTTTTTTGCTGATCAAACAGACTTACGTTGCACTACTGACATTATGGAGCAATATTTTAAGAATACAAAGTACACTGAATGACTGTTTTAAGCCTGTGACCTTAAAACCTTTGAATCAGGACGTACAGAATTCAGGGCTGTGATGCTTACGTTAACTCCAGGCTGTTAAAAAGTTAAAAAAGGAACAACCCGAGTCTGCTGAAACTTAAGTCATGGCATCATGACAACTTTTAATGATTCATTTAACTTTAAAGCACCATAAGCCTGGGGGGGCGTGTAGCTGGGCGGTGCCCCTGAAATAGCTCTCATGTCTGACACTGGACTGTAGCGTTTGCACTTGCATGTGTGACATACCATGAAAATGTCTTGGCTGAGACTCCAGTTCGAGCCAAAGCGCCGCTAGTGACACAGACTGCTAACTGTTTTTGTATCACACTGTACACTTTATATTCACTGCCTTTGGCATCTTAGAGCAGTTTTGAAATATGAGTTGTCTTGAGTGAACTGATGGTTTTTTTTTTGCAGATTGACTCGAGGCTTGTGTGGAGCAGTTGGGCGGTGTTGGCATGGCCTTGTCGTTTTGTGGCATCGACAACGGTACCAATGCCTACAGCGTGGAGAAGGGCGTGCTGAACAATGGCTGCTTCGTGGACGCGCTCAACCTGGTTCCCCATGTCTTCCTGCTCTTCATCACCTTCCCCATCCTCTTCATCGGTAGGTGATAGAAATTGAAAGGACATTGTATTGACCTACACGTATTCCCTGAAAGATCTACCCTAACCATAAACTTACCCTAAATACATAAAACTGCAGTAACTTTTACAGTATCATAGCTGGATGGTGGACACACTCTCTTATTTATGACATATGTATTCCAAAGTACCGTCTCTGTGTATCGGACACTCCAGTAAAAAAAAAAAAAATAATCCACAGCTGAAAAGGGCAAAATTAAAAAATAAACATTTTCAGGAGTAAATATTTAGAAGTGCTCCATGCATTTTCTGTTTTGGAACAAAATGATCTAGATTAAGTACACAAAAGGTTCTGTGCTTCTGCAGAAGTGTTTCAGTCTGTGAAAATCATTGCAGCTGTCAGGACAGAACTAATCCTGTGAGGGTTGGAGTCAGACAGATCTTTTGCTCTGATCGTTTGATACATACAGCACTGTATTTAATACATTTGATTATGGAACGCAAATAGAAGTAAATATGCTTGTTTGTCTATATGTATGACTAAACTAGTGCCCAATGTGACCCTGAATCAGATAAGAGAAAATATATGGACGTAAGAGTAGGCACTGTGGATAAAGTGATGACCCTGATATGAGTACATATAATTGTATATGGATAATGCTTCTGGCTAATACAGACAAATAAATACCTGACAAATCAAGAAACGTCATCTTATTGATGCATAAAAACATATTAAAGGTCAGAGTGAGTGGTTATGGTGCGTAGGTGATTCCAGGAGACATGCCAATAAATCCTGACATTCATGCCAATAAAGCAAATTGAAATTGACAGGTAGATGGAAGGTTAGGATGGCAGGCAGGCAACAGAGAAAGAAACTGATGAGTGAAAACATTAGTAGCAAAAGGCTTCAGAGCTGGACGCCAAGACATACGGAGCAGAACTAACGATCCGACGAGGACTGGAAGTCTGGTCTCTCCTCTTGTATCGGTGTCGGTCTGATCGGGCTTTTGGGTCAGGTGAAGGAGAGGCAGAGGTAGAGAGAGAAAGAAGAGAGAACAGAAAGACAGACAAAAACTCACAAAGCACACCACATTCACCCAACTGTAAGAAAACAAACAAAACCACGCTCCCTCCCGTACCAGCTGTCACAGGACAGGTGTCACGGCACGGGGGTTGTGACAATTACCTTTAACCAGGTAGACTCATTGAAATCAACATCAACAGCAGAGAGAAAGAAAGGACAAATGCATACAACAAACCATTAAAGACAAAACGCGCATGCAGCATCAGAGACAATTGCAGACATCACTAAACAGATCAGGAGTTAAAAGTTTAAAATTGGCCAGTGGGAATTTTTAAAATCCTCCATAATTCATTGCATGTATAGGGTGCAAAGTGGTTAAAGGAAGTCTTCCCAAGTTCAGCATTTTCCTAGGGGGCAACTAGAGTTAAACATCTGGTTTGGTGAACAGTGGGGGGGGGTTTTGAGAAGAGAAGTGATATACTGAGCCAGCTTTTGCAGGAGAAAAAAAATGCTTGTGTAACTATAAATTGGCATATGGCCAGTTGATGTTATTGAAGAGATTGATTAATAGTATAATTATGATAAAGAATTTTACTTGCATGTTGTTGCACAGATTGTTGGGTTCCAATAGCCGGTTCCATTTTGTATCTGGTTCCAGGTTGATAAAATACCTGGATTCACTGAGCTTTAAGGGTCTGGGATGGAAATTGTTTTGTCTCCGTCTTGCTCTTTTCTTAAAATTATTATTTTTTTCCAATTGGAAATCAGGTAGCATAAATTTCTTTCAATTTGCAAATTTGTTTAAAAAAATAAAAATCAATGAAGTGACAAACAAACAAATGAAAAAGTAACTAAATAAATAGATAAATAAAATAAAGTAGCAGAGAACCAGGTGGGTTACAAAACAACCGATGGTCTTCTACCTAAAGTCTGATCTGAGAGGGTTGATAAACTCAATCCAACCTTTCTAACATTTATCAAATATATCAGTCTTCTGTCTTTCCATCACAAAACTTTAATGCATCACACTTTAACGGACAACACAGTGGATAGTGGTAGGAAACAAGGGAGAAAGAGATGGAGCGCGACACGCAGCAAAAGGCTGTCGGTCCGATTCGAACCAGGACCTCAGCCTTGTGGCTTTCTTACTGACTATCTGCATTATTCTATACATATATACATATATTTTTGACAAACCAAGAAGTTGTGGTGGCATCTTACCCAAATACGAGACCTGAAAACAAAAGTCAATCTTGTGTGTTGTTTGCTGATCCGTGGACTGTTCTCCTTGCAAATGTACAAAAAGAAAATACAGGTCCCAGCAGGCTTCACTTTTTCTGCAGAGTCGCTTTTGTTGGTTAAAATGACAAATGTTGCTGTTAGATTATATCAGTTCAACTCAATGGGGCTTTATTGGCATGGGAAGAATAAAATAAAAACATGTAGATTTAAAGAAGGATTGTAATTTTGCTATTACAACTATAGACAGATAAGTCAAATTATTTGGAAGAAATCTTTAAGCAACTTTCACAAAAGTCAAAGTCTAGTAACATGCTCTATGCAAGCTTTTGTTGGTACACGGCCAAATATTATTTGTCAGAGAAAGAAACATCACTCTGTAACACCACTGATGTGAATGGACTGTAGGTTTTTGCCGTGGTGAGTCTTTTCTAGTGAAAATGATCAGCTGATCTCATAACGCCCGTCCCTAACGTCTCATTAGACATTAGACATTAGGCCTGCCACTATGAAGTTCTTACTCACCCCCTCAATCAAATCCTCATCCCGTGCAGGACAAAGGGCCATAAAGAGCACCCTCCATTGATCTGTATCCATGGCAACACGTCGAAGCTCACCCCAAGTTAAGGTCATCTTGGATACCTTGTTTGTCTTATTTCTGCCCCCAGGCTACTTTTGATCTTCCAGGTTTCCCCTTGCCTGGTAGAGTCGATCCCAGTGCAACCTTTTGTGAGACAGTCTGCCTCTATTGGAAGCACATGGCCCAGGGATCACAGTCGCTTGATGGTCTTGGTTTTTCAGTAAAATAACAGAGTTGTGGTCTTATTGGGTGAGAAAGATGACTGATCAGTTGACTTCCCACTGCTTTTATACACAGCCCTTTGTTTTTACGCTATATTGGTCTGACTTCCAGAGGATCGAGGTACTGAGAAAATGCACCCTGGACTTACCCCAATCTTGTTTTTGGAGCAAATAGCTTGTGCAAAATAAAGGTTAAGTGACATATATTTAATAAACATTTACTGATCACCTCACTTTCAGTTCCCTCTCAGCCAGCAAAGCTGCTTACAAATCCTGGAATATTTTAACCAAGTTTGTTTAACCAAAGGCTTACAAATATTAATATCTGAACGTAAACACATTTATGGCCATTGCAATTCTCTTGAATTTTCTTGACAGTGTTGTGATCTCAGAGGCAAAGTATAAAAAACAGCTCTCACAATCAAGAGTAAAGGAGGAGGACTTGTAGTCCCCGCTGAGCCGTGTTACAGTAATCTGTAGTAATCGGCAGGCAGAGCAGATGTGTTACCAATATTAACTGTCCCTTTCTCTCACATGGACACACACACACACATTTTAAGGCACTTTCTTGTCACCAGTGTGAACATTAAGCAGCTTTGAAGAGTAGTTAAGATGCGATTAGAACAACAGTTCATTGATCCACTGGGCCTCTGCTGCAGGAAATAGTGAAACAAACATCATCAACTCATCAGCCATCTACTACTCACTAATTTCATCTTCTACATCTGGTCCTTTTGCTGTTGAATAATGAACCTCAAATATTAAGAAGAAAAATTATGGAGGAGGGAAATGGAGAAAGAAGAAAGCAAGGGAGGGAGGATGCGAGAGGAAGGAGGAGTAGTAAAGGGGGAAAAAAGTAAAAAAGAACAGTATGGTAAGGAAAGATGGAAGCAAGAAGGGGGAAAAAACAAATATTTTTTAGTTTTGTGTGGTATTGTGGTAACTCTTTGCAGAGAATAACATGAATTGAATGCGTGGTGTGTGTGTGTACAGTAGTGTATGGGAATAATTCTGACCAGAGGCCCTGAGCCTGCTCCCCGAGGACTCACTAATTGATGCTTCCTGGTTCTAGTGTTTTTATGGCCTGTGTCCCCTGAGACTCTGGAATGGCTGCGGTCCATTTAGTTAAGAGCAGAAACAAACCTAATAGGAAACCCTGTCAGCACTAATAAAACCCATGTGGTACTGAGCTCCCATAGCATCATCTGTTTTTTACCAATAAAATAAAATTGGATTAAATTGACACAAGAAGTATATTAGTGTTAGACTGGAAATTAGATTTGCCAAAACATCAAGACTTTGATTTTATATTGTGTTTGGAGTTGCAACTAGTCTGTTTTCAAGCAAAAAAACACAAATATTTGGCCAAGTACCAAACGTTTAACGTACCAAATTGTAAGATACAGGAGAGGAATTTTCTATCTAACTAAACACTTTGGTTTTATGATGCATGTAAACTTTTTTGACAGTAATGTTGGAGTCAAACATCAGGGCCCGTATTTATCAAGCCGCTCAGAATTACTCATAAGAACACTGCTAAGAATTGACTTAAGAGTAAAAAAATTCTTGGCTCAAAGCTGTGCTTAAAAGTTAGTTATCAAGCATCATTGTCCTACTTTAAGTGAAGTGTAGGACTAAATCTTAAGTGTCAGTCTTAGTGCTGATTTACGACACTTTGCTGTGCCGCAAACAGGATTTTGGTCGATGATGTAGCCAAGGACCAATCACTGAAGAGATTTCCTTATTTAAGAATATTCTCAGATAAATTCACATTGAATGGTGAAATTCCTAAGAGAAGTTTATATTCAACACACGTTTAACAATAAAGATTTTTCAAGAGAATACATTATGATATAGGCCTTCACATTAATAAATGAAAGATAAAAAATTATCTTTACATGAGCGCCATTAATGCACCTACTACTTCTGTGTTGCCGGCTATTTGCATGAACTGTGTTTGCTTCTGTCAGATTACCGGGGGTGTTGGGTGTTGGGAAGTCGATGAAACGCGTGACAATGTGTGAAGCTGTAGCCTAAGTGACGTAATTGTTTCCATGACTATTGATGGTTGTGACGGCCAAAATCATCAGCATTGCTGCGTTTGTCCTAAGGCAAAGAAACCAAGTGTCATCACAACCTTCAGTTTAGCTGAAAACGCATTACTACCTAAAGTTAGTGGTGAGCTGACGTCCCGCACCAACTCGCTGACAAAGATTACGCCTGCGCTGTCCGACCCCGTCACAAGCCCTACTGGCAACTCCTAACCACTTGAGAGACCTCTGGAGCTGTCTTAAATAACTGGGAGAGTAAGAGTGATTCTTAGCTTTAAGATATTTGACAACTTGCTTTTATTGTTAAGTTTAAAAGTAGGAGTAAATTTCATGAATTCTCAGCACTTTGAGAAGCTTGATAAATACCAGTCCAGCTGGTGATGGTGCAGTGGATAAGACACATGCCTTTGGTGTGAGAGACCCAGGTTCAATTCCCACTGTGACACATCTTCCAATGTGTCGCTGAGCAAGACACTTAACCCCTTGTTGCTCCAGAGTTGTGCGACCTCTGACATATATAGCAATTGTAAGTCACTTTGGATAAAAGTGTCAGCTAAAGGTAAAATGGGTTTACTTTTTCAATTATGATAATTTGAGATACACACAAAATACTTATGAATAATTATACTTAATTATGTGTGTGAATTTAGCCCATGTGAATTACGTAGAAGATATGAAGGAGTGGTCCTCTGAAGAAGACGTGATGCTCACTGTGATGATTCATATATTTCAAGCTATTTTTTTTGTACTTGCAAGCTGATTTTTACAGTATGGTGACATGAATATAAAGTAGTATAATATGTTATGGCATAATTTGGAAAGTATATATGAATTGTAGTAAAACAGTAGTCTTCCTTCCCGTTTCTTTACATGCTGCATTTTTCAAAAATATCAAGATATTCATTAAATCACCCTTCATTATATCTGTATCTATCAGGTTGGGGCAGCCAGAGCTCCAAGGTCCAGATCCATCATAACACATGGCTTCATTTCCCCGGCCACAACCTGAGGTGGATCCTCACCTTCTCACTGCTGTTTGTCCATGTCTGCGAGTTCGCAGAGGGCATCGTCTCCAACAAGTGAGACATCAGAAAGATATCTTATGAAATTATCACAGAACATACTTTTTTTGTGTTTGTTGTCTTAAGCAAAGTTACACAAATAATAATGATTGTTAGTAAAACATTAATTAGTTTGGTCTTCAATTAATCAGTAATTTTCCATATTAATTATATTTTGTATTTGCCTCTCGCTGTAGGATGATGGAGACCAACCACCTCCATCTCTTCATGCCAGCCTTCATGGGTTTCATAGCAGCCACAACATCAGTGGTTTACTACCACAACATAGAGACATCCAATTTCCCCAAACTGTTGCTTGGTAAGACTCAACACTGGGGGCACTGTGCTGGTTAATCCTCATCTTTTTTTTCTTGTGTGGCTCAGTACACAATTTCCAGCCTTTAAAAGAGTGCTTTTTCCCATAACTTTGTTCGACTCATGGACTTAACAGTTTAAAAAAACATCTCATCATATTTATTTTCCTACCAATTCTTCTTCCTTGTCAAAACCTGGCGCCTACATTACCCACAGTGCAGCTAGACTGCGGACAGTAAGGACATTTATCCCTCTGAAGACACTAAAGGCTTTATACTGTTTTTTCACATATACAGAAGAACTCCCCAACACATGTAAACTGATTTTGATGAGTTCCCCTTTAATCTGTCGTTTAAACAATGACACTTAATCTGGATGTGGAAGTGGCTACAGAGAAGATACCAAGATATTTGATAATTGCAGCCTGTTTTTGATATTAAACAGTCAAATAGCATTTATCCATATTTATTGAAGGCCAGAGGGCTTTACACTGGTGAAATGGAAGAAATGCGGCATCGCTACAACCTGCGTGGGCTCATGCAATAGGAACTTTACAATGCAAGTGAGGTTGCTTTTCAGATATTACACACACACTGGATTGCTTTTCTCTCTCCACACAGTCCTGTTCATCTACTGGGTTTTGGCGTTCATCACAAAGTCAATTAAGCTGTGGAAGTTTGCAGAGTACCATGTTGGACCACAGCACCTGAGGTTCTGCATCACAGCCCTGTTAGTGCTCCTGTATGGACTGCTGATGGCCGTGGAGATCAACGTCATAAGAATCAGGGTGAGTGATCTTGTTTCATCCACTGTCAGTAACCATATAACCTTTAATGTGTTTAATACATCAACCTGGATATTTCCCTTCTTTTATTGTAACATATCTGTCTTTCTGGCTTAGATTAACTTAATCTTTTTCTCTCTCTGTAGAGATATGTGTTCTTTGCCAACCCCCAGAAGGTGAAACCACCAGAGGATTTACAGGATTTGGGAGTTCGCTTTTTGCAGCCGTTTGTCAACCTGCTGTCCAAGGTAGACACGGACACACGGTCATTGATACAATCAGGATAGTCTGAAATATAAGTAAAAGTCTAGTTAGGCCAAAAATGTTATCACAATAAAAACTTTCATATCTTTCGATATTGATTATTATCACTATAAATATCAAATCGCTATTTCTTTCGAGTTTAAAGGCTGATTTTTGCTCCTGAGTGAAAGTTGAAGAAACCTGATGGTTAATTGTGGTTTAAACTCATCTTTATGGTCAACACTTAAGGCCAATGGATAACTTCACAAATCTGAGGTAGAGCATTCAAAACAAGTATGATAAAATCTTTGTCAACAAATATGCATGAGTTAAAATAAGTAAAAGGTTTTTTCAGTCCTTTTCCTCAACAAAATAAACATCTTAATTAAAAAAGTAAGTCCTAATTTGTGTATGATTAAAGTGAATAAAATCAAACATTTATTGAATATTTATTGAACGTTTGTTATACTGTTATTGAAAATAATTATATCGCGATAATTAGTTTTTATTGTTTTATTGTCCTGCCCTCGTTTCAGCCTAGCTTTAGCCAAACTTAATGTTCAGACAATCCGAGGACACTACTTAGCAGCAGAGCACAGTAAATGGTGTACATTTTTTGGCACATTTTTTAGGCAACATATTGGTGGATGAATCCTCTCATTATTGGAGCCCATAAGAGGCCCATAGAGCTGAAGAAGATTGGAAAGCTGCCCATCGCCATGAGAGCCCTCACCAACTACCTACGGCTCAAAGACGCCTATGAGGATCAGAGGGTGAGCAGATGGAGGCCCTAACCTGATTTAACACTAATGTTAACCTGTGGATTATCAGTAGAGAAACCTTTACAATTTCTTTCCCAACTTCCACTCCACACAGACAGCCGAGGACCCCGATCGTGCCCCATCAATCTGGCGCTCTATGTATCGAGCGTTTGGTCGTCCCATCCTGCTCAGCAGCACTTTCCGCTACCTGGCTGACCTGCTGGGCTTCGCTGGGCCGCTCTGCATCTCTGGCATCGTAAAGTACCTGAAGACTGACAAGGATGTCGCAACGCCAGACAAGATCAAGGTGGGTGTATGTGTGAGCCAGAGAGGTGGGAGGTGAGCAGGGTGAACTAAACTCTAAACTTCCATATTAAATACAGAGCAAGTGAAAGGTTTTAATACTGCATTTACACACACAAGCCAGTAGGTACTTGATTCCTACTACTTCCTAAAAGATACTCCAGCCTACAAACACCCTACAAAACACCAGTACGTTATTAAATGGGGCATTTTCTCCTTTTTATGTATATCAATTTCTGTCATCTTACTATGGTTAGACTGATGTAATGTTTGAGCTATAAATCACTAGTGTTGTACTCAAGACCGCCCAAACCGAGACCAAGTCAAGACCAAGACCAGAGTTTATTGAGACAGAGACAAGACCAAGACTTTTAGGGTCTGAGACCAAGACGAGACCTAGACCAGTTCCCCACATTACATAACACACGGTGAAATGTGAAACAAGATCATAAGTACTTCTTAAATTGATCTGGAAGATCCACATTCCCATTAAAACACCCACATACAAACACTAAGAGCTGAAATGAACATAAGCGTCTTTATTCAACACTCATTTTCCACGCTGACCATCGTGGGGAGGGGGGACAGTCGTTAACGGAAACAACATATGTTTAATTAGGGTTATTGGTTGCTTTCAAAGCAATACGTTTTCCATCAAAGTTAGGATGTTAACAAAAAAATCAGACAATGAAAAAGCAATTTAGTCCCAAATTTGTGGTCTTGACTGGTTTTGAAATAAAATCCCAAGTCCTCAATGTCCGAGACAAGACAAGACTATCAAAAAGTGGTCTTAAGACCGGTTTCGAGACCAAGACCGTTCTTGAGTACTACAACACTATAAATCACAATATTTTCTTAAACAAACTAATTCAAATAGACAGTAAAGCTGAAAGAACCGTTTTGTATAGATAGAGCATTTTCACCCCTTCATTACCTGAGGGGTGTCCAATGGTGTAATGCAGAATCTGCATGTTTTAGGTATTGTACGTAGTCTATACCATGATTTTTAGGCAGGACAGAAGAAAAAAGCATACCAATAAAGGCATCACAACATATCTGTTTATAGTTATTGCTCTCCGCCTTTTGTAGCAGCGCGTGGCAGCGCAGTGATTTCAGTGAGCAGCTCCCAGTGTAAAGGGTACATGGTGGGGCGGCGACTCTGTTTTTGACCTGTAATTAATCAGCAACGACATGGTCAGATTCGATTCGTATTTCTTGCCAGTACTTGGATTCTTCTGCAGCGGAATGGTTTTGAGACCTTTCAGAGAGATAGAAGATGGGCTTATGGGACCTAAAACAACACATAACTGACATTTTGCTCAACCGTCAAGCCAAATCCATGGCTGAAAGTAGTCTATGAAGATTCTCAGTCATCCAGGTCATAGTTATCCAACGAAGGTTAAAATCAAGGGCAACTGGACTTCAACCAAGTCCAGTTGCCCTTGATTTTAACCTTCGTTGGATAAGGCTGAAAGTAGGTTTTGATAGACCGTAAGTGCAATTAATATAACTGCTACATATGGCTCCAGTATAGTAGTATAAGCTCGAGTAAGCTGGACACCACTGGAGGTTCCTTTCTGACTGTAAAACTGGTACAGAAATGGATGGACCAAGTGCCATTTTTGAACAGCTTGTTAAGAACAGAGACTGTGTCTGAGACAAGGATGTGAAAAGTTGAACGTCATCCCTTTAGAGAAATCTGTTGTTTGGGCAAGGCTGATGTTACTGTTGTCGTCAACGGGTGTTTACATACGGTCATCTTATTAAAGATTAAGTGCAAATTAGTGCAACATTACCCACACAAATTGGGTGATCCAGCCAACCCGTGAATGACTCACGCCCAGTGTGATTTCACCGAGGCGTTGGACGTCATCATGTCACCACCAAGTATGTGTGTCAGTGCATGTCTAAGTGTGTGTATGACGCTGTATCTGACGTGATAATATGTCTGTAATGTCATAGCTTCTGATGAAGTGGCATTACACACACACATGCACATTTGTAGTTCTGTTCATGTGAGGAGGACCCTTATTCCCTAAACCTAACTTTAACCATAACCTTAAAACCAAGTGTTAACCTTCAAACAGCACAGCATGAAGTAAGGACTCGCCAAAATATTGTTCCCCTCCAGAATATCTTCACTTTCCACAAATGTCAAAGTCTAAAAGGGTGTCAAAGTCTAAAACTCAAACTGGTCCTCGCAAAGACAAAAGTACAAGAACACACATGCAGAGTCTTGTAGATCGTTTCATTAGAAAATGATGAATCAACAGAAATCATGTTCCAAGTTTAAAGTAACTTTAATTGTAAAGTAACGGACAAATGCTGATGTTACTTAAAACTCCCGGGTGTAAAACATAATTTTTTGGATTAATCATTTAGCACATGATTAAGCATTCGAATTGCTTGTTTTGGCTGACCAGCAGCCCACACCCAAAGATCAATTCAAAATCATGTAACACAACAGAAAAACTGAAAATCCTCACTTCTTTTTAACTTGGAAAAAGTTAATTTTTGCTTATTAAATAACTTCACGAATCATTAATGATCAAAATTCTTGTTGGTTTATTACATCATTGGCTCAACTGTTTTGGTGCTACATTAACAGTCTGCACTAAATATAAACTTTTCACTTATTCATTCCAGATATATCAGGATGTGCGCTAAATCAGTAGCATCTCTATTACACAACAATTATACGAAACAGCAGTATCTGCCCCTGACAGCACCATGAAGAGGTTGTAGCAGACGGAGAGAAAGCAGACATTTTTACAGACGGTCCATTTGGCGAAGGAAGAAACGTTGGCAGAGCTGATCAGACATCGACTCCTTTTAATCCGTGCCAGCCTCTTCCGAAGGTCGGACAGAGCTGTTAGGAGAGGCAGAACAGATGTGTTTGTAATGACAGTAGATTTTCAATCAGTCCATTTGGCTGGGATTTGTTATAATTGATGTTGAACGTGAGCTGATGTCAGGTCCGTGCCTGCCTGTTATAATGGGCAGCAGAGAGAGAGAGCAGAGCCTGGCTTCATTTCTGAGTGACATGGAAAAATTCACCTCACCTCAGTTTAATACAGAGGGGAAAGTCTGCTGAGCATCAGACCGAGCTTTTTTGGTACTTGTGTGTGTGTGATTTCATCCTGTTTCATTCACACATGTAGTAGGTCTATGTATAAAAAGTCATACATATTCTTTCACACCAGTAGGAGTGGGTTATATGGATAAAATCCTCTCATCGCAGCACAAGTATGTTTAAGTTGCAATATTGATATTATATATTTTCTAGAAAATGAAAATGAAAAATCAGATAAAATTCCAACATTTCCATAAAACAATTATGCTTTGATTTGCAACACTGGCTACAGTAATTTGGAGCAGGAACACCTTGAAGCTAATTAACGTCAGCTGATTCATTCATGCTTCACCATCAGTGGCTCCAATATTTATACTGGTGTATGAGACATATTATTAAATGCAGTGACAAACACCTGTAAAATGAAAAAGTGGACTTTTGAACTTTTGAATCTAAAAAAAATAAAGTTTATTCCCCAGTATAACAGGAAAAAATATTTACATATTATTCACCAGATTATGGACATAATTTTTGCTTTCATTCAGTGATTAAAAGAAATACATGCACTTGCTGATGCACCAGCCAGCGGTTCTTTTGAGTCAACAGATGTGATACAAGCTTCTGTTTGCAACAGAAGAGACTAAAAAATATGCGGTGCAACAAAAATAAGCCTTGAACACTATGAAGCTCATTAATGTCAGCTGGCTCATTCATCGGTTGCTTAGCAACCAGCTGACTAGTAACAGCCAATCTTGTTTATTTTGGTGTAAATGGTGGATCATTAGTTCCCCCGGCAGTTTGGATTCTTTTGAAAGCTCCTGGAAACCTTTTCTACTATAGTCTAACTGTGTGTAACAAGCTGTTATAAAGGGTCAATTCCTCACGGCAAAAGATAGCTACATTAATATTATCTCGTGGTGTACATGCTGATGTCTTGGGTTTCTAAATGTATTCTGTGTTTGGTTATTTTTAGTATGCGTAAATATTATAGTTATAGGGGATGCTGGATTTTTGTTGCCGACAGTGATCTGATATAAGAAATGATTTATTAGCCGATATCCAAATAAAAAAATATGACAAAAAACTTTTTTACATATCATCCACCAGATTCAGAAACAATTTGTGCCTTTATTAAGTGATTGAATCAAATCAATGCACCTGTTGAATCTGTACATGGAAGAGACAACAGATGTGAGACAAGTTCTTGTCACGGTGGTGAAATGATAAATTGGTTTGACCTTACTGTGTGCACCCTTTTAATAGTGTTAATGTATTTTAAACTTGAATGTCTCGTGTGTGCTTTGTTGCAGGAGACATATTTCGGTGTGTACTTCATGTCCTCCACTGAGCTGCTGCAGAACACTTCGGTCCTGGCTGTGCTTCTCTTCCTGGCTTTAGTCCTGCAGAGGACCTTCCTGCAGGCTTCGTACTACGTCACCATAGAAACAGGCATCAACCTGCGGGGAGCCCTGCTGGTGAGGGGAAACATCATGGAAATTTAAACCTAGACGTTTTGTTTCCATGCTCAGGTGTTGTTTGAAAAAGGTCTACATGAGCGATCTCCCAGTTGTTCCAGAGTCCAAGACTGTTTGCTGATATAAATGTATTTTGTTTCATTCCCTAGGCGATGATATACAACAAAATCCTGCGTCTGTCCACCTCCAACATGTCTATGGGGGAAATGACACTGGGGCAGATCAACAACCTGGTGGCTATAGAGACCAACCAGCTGATGTGGTTTCTCTTCCTCTGCCCCAACCTGTGGGCCATGCCTGTGCAGGTAGGTTGAACCTTTGATCCATACATTTATGGCCTTATTTAATCCAGGGTTCGTACACGATATGGATAAGAATGGGGGAAAAAAAGAAAAGTGAGGATGGAAAAATAGTGATTGCACATGATTACCCCTAGTCTGTTTTCTAACATACCGTAAAACTTCAATTAAAGTCCAAGTACCAAATTGCCACGTGTCCCCTTTACCCTTTACCTTTAGCCCCATAGTCTAATTCATTCAGATTTACTGGCATGGTAAACAACAGATGAAATAAAGTGCAGACTCCCTACCTTTTGAAAAGGTCATTAAGTCCGAATGTGTCCATTCCTAGATTATTTATATTCCTTTAGTCTGTACGGATCCACCGATTAGAAGAATAAAAAAACCTTTAATAAAAATGTATTCTCTCCTGTGAATAATGTCACGTGAAGTCCATTGCTCACTGTCTGCCAACTCCTGCCACACAATTTAAGTTTTACGGTATAAAATTCAGAATTTCTAAAAATGAATTCATCATACAAGCAGAATGTTTTTCATTTAACCAAATAAGTTTGGAAGGAAATGAGGTAAAATTAATTATCTGTTCTTATTTATGAAAGACACGTAAAACAATAACATCGTGTTTATTCAATATGGTAAGGGAAAATAAGACGAGTATAGATGGCACTGGTTAGTACATACATTTTAATGGTTGGGTTTTAAAACTAATGATTTGCACTAGAAATATCTAGCTTTTTGTAGATTCTGTCGAGTGAAGATGTTTTTTTCTTACCATCTCTTTTTGGGTTTTATTTCCTTCTTTGCAGATTGTGATGGGAGTGATCCTGCTCTACTATTTGTTGGGCTGGAGTGCCTTGGTTGGAGCATCCGTTATAGTTCTGCTGGCTCCAGTCCAGTACCTTATCGCTACAAAGCTGGCAGACACACAAAAAAGCTCACTAGTAAGAAGAAGACTTATGTAATTGTTTTGTTTTGAAATAAATCACATCTTCAGCAGATTATTTTGCAGATTGTTGAATTATCTTTAACTGAACTGCGTGATGGATACTGATGTTTCACTGGTAACTATTGTGTCTTCTAATGGGACCTAAATATGGTGTAGAATAACATATCGTTTTTATTCTCTCTTGTCTCTTTTAGGAACACTCTACTGATCGTCTGAAAAAGACCACAGAGATCTTAAAGGGCATAAAGCTGCTGAAGCTGTATGCCTGGGAGAATATCTTCTGTGACAGCGTGGAGGACACCAGAGGCAAAGAGCTCACCAGCCTCAAGACCTTTGCTTTGTACACATCTATGTCCAGTAAGATAAAAACAAAATCTATGACATGAATTTCAGGTATTACATTTTTGTGTGATTGCAGAAAGTAGATTCTTTAGTCAGGGTTGGTAAAAAGACTTGAATCCATTTTTCCTTCATGTATTTTGATTTTCTTTCCAGTCACACTTATTATTTCCATAATGTAATATGTAAAGCCCTTTCAGCTCATATGACGATATGTTTTCTGCTGTCCTCACCGCAGTACAGTAAAACCTGTGTTCTCTCTTTGTGCAGTTTTCATGAATGCTGCTATTCCCATTGCTGCCGTTCTTGCGGTAAGACACTTTCACCAACTTTCACCACACTTGCAGTGTGACACCTTAGTAAAAGAAAGACAATCATTTATGATTTTGTAACTCCTCCTTGAAATATTGCCTTGTAGACATTTGTGATGCACCACTTCCTCGATAAAACCGGTCCCAGTCCTTCTGAGGCCTTCGCCGCTCTAGCGTTGTTCCATATCCTGGTCACCCCTCTCTTCCTGCTCTCCACCGTCGTCAGATTTGCTGTGAAGGCTCTTGTCAGGTGAGCGTCTGTGATAGTGTACAACTAAAATATATATTCTTCCTGCTGTGCGTTATGTTGTATTCACTCTCATTGTAAAGAGACTGGCTGTTACTGGTGAAGCCAACCGTTAATGTTATTTTGTCTGAGAGAGAAGGAGATGTGGACACGACTAAACAAGGAAGACGAACTGGAGATGCTGTGTCACAAGCTGGATGTGGTTCCAATGGTAAATCTAATTAAAGGAACATGGAGGGAACCTTCCAGCACTGAAGAGAAACTCTAAACTCCGGAGAGATTACTGGTATTGGTATCGTCACAATCACACTTATTCATTGACTAAATGTGTGTGTGTGTGTGTGTTCACAGCGTCCAGAAGCTCGGTGAGTTTCTTCAGAGTGACGAAATTGGAGACGACAGCTGGAGAAATGGAGACATGCCTCTTTCCTTCGAAGCTGGAAAAAAACACCTGGGTGTGGTAAGTGATGATGAAACCAGATCAATCAACAAAACTGAGCACTGACAGGGAAAATGAGTAAAATTTTATTTTATGAGAAAAAAAAATTTTTAAATTTTTTTATTTAAACCATTATTTTGTTGTTTATATAGATTATAGCCAGGTAGCAGGTCAAAATGAAGGTGAAGCCACCATAACTTCCTGTTATAAACCTTGATTTGTAAAATTATGATATCAGCAGACGCTGTGTCTCAGTATCTCTGCAACTAACCTGGTGAATGAAATGTAACCATAATTGATGAAAAAACAAAACAAAAATGAATTTTGATAAATAATGGGACCACTTGTTTTAAACAGGTATGTTCACTGCAAACTTTTATTTCAAAAAGCAGCAAACATATTATACTCTGCGTCTACACATAATTGGACCTTACATCAATGTTTGAATGTGCTGCAAAGATATTTTTCTGACCGTCCTCGTTTATGTCCGAGGCACAGGCAGTTTACAGATGTCACGTTCAAGGACTTCTGGGTAATGAAAACCTTCAAACTGTAAAAAATCCAAACATTTATCCTGTATTTAAAACAGATGGCGTTAATAAAGCACACTGCAGGTGCCAAGAAATCGCTTTAACTTGCTGAGTTTTAACAGCCTTAGTTTCCTCATGGACAAAGTTTGGATCAATGAGGTGGCGCCAGAAGACACGGCACACATTCCTTCCATGTTACTCCAGGTAACTTTTGTCCTTTCTATTTTGGTGACAGGTTTCTTTAATGGATTGTTCTGGGACGTTGTATAACGTCAGCACTGTCTGTGGATCCTAATCAAGCAATGAGTAGATCCTCCAAGGAATTTTCACGTATTTAGGCAGTGATGTGCAATGACTCATAATTACTGTGGCTAGCAGCAGGTCATCAAGTTCATACGAATGAATTTTGAGAAATACAAAAAGGAAACCCAAACAGCATTATTTAAAAATTTTATTTCTTCCTTTTGGTTTAGTAGAACATTTTGTACACAAGCTGTTAACAAATTAAGAAACAATAAATGCCACTTAAATTTCAAAAACAACATGCAGTTTTTGTTTCATGTTGTATTGCTGCAGCATTAACACAAGAAAAAAAAGAACATGATCCTATGTTCCAGCCTCAAACACCAACACAAGTTAACATAACATTTGGAAAGGAGAATTCATTCATCATTACAGATATGGAATGTTACTTTACTTACATTATATGTCATGCTATTTCCTCAGGGACTAATTGTCATGTTTTTAGAAGCTGTGGGGCGTCCTACAGAACATCACCACCCACTGAACTGCAGCCCAGACTTGAGTCTTGCGTCTGTCTGGGGTTTCAGGCCACTGAGTCACATGGTGACTATTATGTTGCAGTGGGATTAACACAGTTTGTGTCTAAAATGGACAGTTAGACCACAGAGCAGAGTGACTCACGGAAGGTTTAATGGTTTTCAAATAGGATTGTAAGGCATAATAAATAATCAATTTTTATAATGGAATATGTCTTTACATTTATTATAACTAACTGAATAGATAGTGTTACAATCAGGGCAATATTAGCTACCTAAATGCAAACCGTCTTTCTGGTTGTCATTTTCGTTTCTTCAACTTAATGCAAAAGCCCCTTTTGAAGCCATTTTGTAGCAGCTGCATTATATCCCTTTTTATTAAAGAGGTGGTATTATGCTTTTTGCCTTTCCCCTCTTCTTTATTGAGTTATATATCTTTTTTTGTGCATGTACTAGGTTTGCAAAGTGAAAAAGCCCAAAGTCCAGCCCAAAGGGAGTTCCCATCTCCCACAGAAAACTCTGCTCTGAACTGCCTGAAACAGCTTGTTTGTAGTCCAGCCGCTTCCCTGTGACATCACAGGGATGAAAGCTAAATGCGCCTCATATAATGCTCGCCAAGCGGCTACTTCGACACGCCCTCAAAACCACCGGTGGAAAAACAGTGAGCTGCAGCACACAGCTCTCTTCCAAACACTAGCTACCCTCCAGGCAGTCAGTGGACATGAAGTTGTTACTGTGATGTAGAGACAGAGCTCAGTTAAAACTTTATGGATGAAAGATACTTTTGTTACAGATTAATAACTCACCACTCTGAAACTCTTGCTCCAGTCCATGTTGCCAAGCTGGTCGGCAACATGTACAGCTGAAATGAAGCCCTATTTACCGGCTTCTCGCTGACCCGCCCTTCTCTGCTTCTGATTGGCTAGTAGTCCTTAAATAGGAACTGCGCATGTGCAACTCTCAACAAAGATCATTTAGAGACAAGATGTATCACTCCATAGCTAAAACAAAGCCTTCACAACACAGGGTGAAAAGAGGAGCTGCAGCAATGTGAACAAATATGGTGTTTTTTGAAAATTAAATTATTTAAACATGTTCTCGTACAACCCCTAAATAAGATGAGCATAATACCACCTCTTTAAGCCATTAATCACTAAAAGTGGTAAAGTGGTAATTGCAAGACTTGAAATTTTGCCAGGATATCTGGGAGCTAAGTGGCCACTGATAGGTGGTCTTTGAGATTCTGTCACCTCATGTGTCCTCTGCTCAGATATTAGTACCTTTGCCTTTGTCATTATATCCAACACATTGGCCAAGAGTAAGTTACATCTTCACTACTAACTACCAAGATTGTCATGAGTTTGGATATCAATATTCATGGTCTCATTGAGGCTAAGCTTTCACTCAGCACTTTGGTCATTGACGAGGTTTTGTTTTTGTTTAGCTTTTATCCAAACAACTCACAGTTGCTAGACATGACAGAAGTTGCATGCCTCTGGAGCAACTAGGGGGTTAGTGTCCGGCTCAGGGACACAATGGTGGATGTGTCGCAGTGGGAATTGAGCCTGGGTCTCCCATACCAAAGGTATATGTCTCTTATCCTTGCGCTATAGCCACCATAAATTAAAAAGTCATGGACAGATGTGTCTTCTTTCCTTTTACCAGTAGTTCCTCCATAAGGCCACATTTTCCACTTACACACAAGAAATACTAAATCTAGTTGGCAGATTGCCTTGATTTAAAGAATATTCTTGCTCCCCAGTGGATGATGGTATTACATTTTATTTATTCATATTTTAGCCTTACAACTGGTTAAACTTTAGCCATAGTAATATCATCAGCGTGCTGATTCTTCCACCACTTTTGATATAATTGCAGCTTCTAGAGTGTTATGTACAGGGCTTCACATGAAGTATAAAGACACTTGTACACTGTTTGTATGCAAAGTGTGTCTGGATAAGAACAGGATAATGTGCTAGCAGCGGGGTTGAACCCTGTGGTGCAACATCCTCTCTAGGCTTATATCAGAGGGAACCCTCGCACTTTTTCTTCTCCCCAAGGAACTAAAGCGGATGCAGGAAAGTCTTTTAGTTTAATAGTTAATGCTAACTTCTCTCTCTCTCGCTCTCTATTAATATCCCCCTCAAGACCAAAGCCATCAACAGGAAGCAGCCAATGCGCTACCAGATGGACAACTACGAGCAACCGACCAGACGACAGATGAGACCCACGGAGACGGAGGATGTGGCTGTAAAGGTCAGGATCAAAGTTCACATTTTGGGGAATGGTTGAGAATAACTGCCACCATCCAAGGTTAATGGTTCAAAAGATATAACATATAGTCCCATTAGCAGGACTGGATGTAAATCAGGTGGTGGATGAAATCAGAGGACTTGAGAGGCAGAAGCAGCTCTGTAAAAGTAATGTGTTTCACAATGTCAGACTAATTGACCTCCAACAGTCTGAGAGAGGTGGTTAGAGGCAGCACATTCACGAGCAATGAACTCAGCTTTCCAGATTTCTTCCTGGCGCTTGTATGCTCCCCTCTTAGTGATAAAGTTAAGGAGACCTTGGGGAACAGACAAGTTTAGGTACAGAGGGATGGGTCACCAGTTTGATGAAACTGGAGATGGAAGAGGGGGTAACTAACAGAAATAGATTCTTTGGAAGAAGAAGAAATTAACAGACGGACATGAGAATGTAAAAGCAAGATATAGATAATTCTCTTTATTTTGACATGTTACTGATTTTGACTTTAAACAAAGAATACCTGTATTTCTTAAAAGAAGCAGGCTGGTTTAAGTTTAATTTTTAAGTTGTTATGCAAGAAGGCAATGTTTTTTTTTGTGGACAAGAAAAAATAAAAACCTTCTGATTAACAGCATTACCTTTGATGCAACAAAATCAGAAACAAAACTACTACTCTTGTTGACAAGAAAACCTGCTAAATGGCAGCGTTAAAAGAAGTCTGACGATCAGACTTTTGGATGTTTTATGAATGAGAGTTATTAAGAAATATACAAACCAGTCTCACTTAACTGTGTGGATTGGTATTGATATGATATTCTGTATTTATTACAAAACCACCTTGCATCAAGTGTTTGATTCATATGAATTGTGGCATTTGCACTCACACACAGACACTTAGGAGCTGCTCCCTAATACCATAATTTATTTAACTCTATCAACAGCTGTTTCATGTGTTCGCTGTTTGTACATCCATGGGTCTTTTGTGATTGCATGGAATCATACATGTGACGCGTGTTTGTCTGTGTATCTGTGTGTACTCTCAGGAAGTGTAGGATTCACACGAGAATTAGTTGCCCCTTAAAGGGCCTTGTCAATGTGTCCAACATTTTCTCAGCCCCTCTGTGTGAAGGCTCCTCTTCCTGTCTCATCCCTGTGGAGTGACGCTACCGACCAGACGGTGGGCCGCTAATCAGAGGGGGAGATTAACAGAGCAGTTTCCATACTAAACACACTCTTTGTTGACTTTGTAGTCATCAATTTAAGTATAAAATGGAAAAGAATCACTTCTTTTATACATTACATGGGTCAAAGGTAGACTATATGGACACCTACACATTACTTTTATGAAATCCCATTCTAAATCCATTAGCATTAATATAGAGTTGCCCCCCCCTTTGCAGCTATTACAGTTTCTGCTCCTCTGGGAAGGCTTTCTACAAGATTTTGGAGTGTGTCTGTGGGAATTTTTTCCCATTCATCCAGAAGAGCTTTTGTGAGGTCAGACAGTGATGTTAGATGAGATGGCCTGGCAAGCAATCTCCGTTCTAGTCCATCCCAAGTGTTGGATGGGGTTAAGGTCAGGGCTCTGTACGTGTTCTTCCACACAAAACTGGACAGACCATTTCTTTAAGGAGCTTGCTCTGTGCATGTGGGTATTGTCCTATTGAAACAGGAAAAGGCCAAACACAAACTGTTGTAAGAACTATTGTCTAAAACTATAGCATTAGGATTTCCCTTAACAAAGACCACACCATGAAAAAACAGCCCTTCCAAAAGTATTAGGACAGGAATGTCTACATACTTTTGGCCATATAGTATATGTGTATATTTTTGCTATATTGTGTGTTATTGACTCCATGCAAATAAAAGCAGTTGCGCAACCGGATGTGGCAATTATGTGCAGGTTGTTACAGTGGCCATTGAATTTCAGGGTACTAAATTTCTCCCAGTATGGATTTGTGTGACATCTACAGAATGTGAACTCGTCACCTTGCCCAAGTGAAAAAGAAATATACTGAAGTAGCACTTTTTTTGGATGCACTTATTACATTTTAATTGTACGTGTATACTAAATGTGTTATTTTGGAAAAACTTAAAGTATGTGAAGTGTAATTTTAGAAATACTTAAAGTGAACTAATGTGAATGAACACTGAATGAACTAGTGAATAATTGCAATATATTTTAACATACTTAGTTGTGTTAAAATGGACCTATTTTAAGTACCTTTACTGTAATTTAAATATACTTCTTTAAATTTAACTTAAAATACCCTTTTGTGCATAACTTGAAAAACAGTTTAAATATATTTTAAACTTCACATAAATGTGTTCCCTGAACATTTTTATTAGCATTTCAGCATATTAGTAATTTATTACTAGTATACTCCAAGAGCCACTATTAATATCTTGGGAAGCTGCTTTATGAAACCAATAATGCAATAATAATAATCAGTTAAAAAAAATTATTTTACAACACACACACATACAGACAACTAAACTTTAATTTTGTGTACATTACAAAAATAAATTCCTGTACATTAAGAGGTACAGCAGCATGTATCACATCTTGACCAAAATACCTTCAAATAAAAATAAAATCAGTAAAATGATGACATGATCAGTATTACTGAAAAGTACACTATACACATCCCATCATTAATGTTACCCATGGGGGGTCCCTCATACGGTTCGGACTCTGGGCACGGCTCAGGTGAACTCACGGCAAGCCATCCCACTTCTGACGCCATATGCGGCCAAAGGCGAGAGCAGTCACCCTGCCCAGGTTCAAACCCAGGTCTACAGGGTACCAAACATGCAACTTTAACAGCAAGGCCAAAGAGCAAGGAAAATTGGTATGGCAGTCCAAGTGCTTACTCAGCTGTAGTGAAGGTACTCCGTCACAAGCAAATGGTGGAACCAAACTGAAACTGAAAAATTTCACTATCCTTGGAGTGGAGGGTCGGTATCTTTGAGTAGGACTCGTTGTATTTTCTCCGACTGCAGACACTATGGGATTTGGAAACTGCTTTATCACACAGCATCTGTGGAAGGGAAAAGGAAATATTTTGTCTATATCAAAGCAATATTACCTCTAATTAATTAACAACCATTGTCAGATTTTTTATTTTGTTTAAAGTTGCTGAAACACAAAATGACATCATGTTTAACTGTTCTGATAGTGCTAACCATTTAGGTTCAGGTGAAATGGTTTTCCACAAGGGACCCATCCCAGTTAATGCTCAGTTCTTCCTTTACAACATGATCAAAAACATTACATAAACACTACTGTACATTCAGCCAAGGAGCTGTATATGATAAAAGGTTATTTAACAGGTACAACAAATAACACAAACATACAGATTTGCTTAACAACTGTTCTGTCTACATGTCATTTCACATTAACACAGTACAAAAGTAGCCAATTACTTAATGTATAACAATATTTTAAATAAAATTATTTTTCACAACAATATTTGTTTATTTAGTCTGACCCCGTTGACATGTAGTGAGAGCAAAAACAGTGATGGTGTGCAGGAGCACATTGAGCTTGTGAGGGTTTTCTGGTCCTTTGAGGTTTTCCTGGCCTCTAAGCCATCTGAGTGAGGCAACGATCCCAGTCGAGAAGAAATGAAGAAAAGAAATTGCAGTTGCAAATGATATATAATAAATATTCAGTTAGGCCAGTATTTCCACCTAGTTTTTTTCTTCATTTGCGTATCGTTATAAACACTGTAATTCTATTCTTATAGCAAATCTTTATTGTTATTCTTTATTTAATTTTCTTGATCTAAGGTAGGAAATTCCAACTCTGGGTTTAGCATTAAGTTGGTTAAAGTTGGCAAAGGGTAGGTTCACCTTTTAAAAAGTTGAATACAGGATCTATGACCATACAAATGGACATAACGTTGAGCAGTATTTTATATATCATCACATACTATTATTATATTACAATCATAAAGACCTCACTGGTCATTTTAACAGTGCGAAATATGTTTTAAAAATCATTCTTCTGGAAATCAGGCTGAAACATGTGGCAATTGCATAAATAATTACAATATTTTGCAGTGGCCTACACAATGAAGCATGTTTGGCATAAATATATTTTTAACCCACTAAAAGTGTAATTGTTTAACAATGTACTTCCACAAAGTACACCTAAATAGTATTTACTAAGAGTTAAATGAATATATTTTTAAAAAATAGACAAAAATGTTGTGAAAAATATAATTTTATTTGAGCATGTTTATTAAAAGTTTAATTAAGTACATATTTATTACCAATTTATTCAAAGTATACTTTTGAGAAGTATGTTAAACCTCAGGAGAATATATCTTTAATATATTTGTAGTAAGCATGTTAGGAGTACGAATGTACTATAGGCATACTATGTGAATTTCTAGTATATTTACAGTGCCTTTAAGTGCACTTCTTTTTGACCTGGGTGAAGCCTCAGAAAATCACTTGCAATGTGTATTAAAAGCTGATTTTATGCGTGAAGTCCAAAATCCATCAATTTCTGTTTTCAAGCTGTTAGGAAAAAGTGGTGCAACTTCAGACACTGAATGAAATGTGTAGACACGGGTACAGACATTGGTGCTTTAAAATGGGTGTTTTCATTTAGTGGTTGTTTCATATATGAAAGTGATCTTAAATTTTTTACCCAAGGTGGTATTAAAAGTAGCTTATGAAAAAATTTTTAGGATCATATCCTGCAACTTCTCACGTACAGCAGTGGCCCCACATGTTACCCCATATTTCCTTATTTTCACTCCCTGTTTTTTTTGGTTTACCCTCCCCTGACTTCTTTTGATAGTATCTGATCTTGCTTTCCCTTTATGTACCTCATCCTGCTTTTGCAGTTTTTTCTTGGCACAACACCAATATGTGATTTCTGACATGTTTGTTTATCCTAATCAGTTGATTTTAAGTATGATGCTGATGCCTGGCCATTTTGTGTATTGGAGAGATTTAGTTGGTGGTTAATCACACGGCAAAAGTAAATCAGAGAAAATAACCACCATGTTATTACCAATATGCCACTAAAAACAAAGTCAAATGTTTTAAGTAAGTTCCTATTGAATATTTACTTACAAAGGAACAAAAATGTTTTTATCTCTAAGAATCCTTTTGGGATCTGTGTCAGGGGGAGAAAGGATGTGTCGAGGAAAGACTGTGGGGATTGTCAGATAAATTAAACATAAAATAAACAAATAAATGCAACAGATGGGAGGAATGTAAACAGTCCTAGCAGGAAGCAGGGTGATAGATCACTGAACAGGGATCAGATACGAAGGGCTAACATGCGTCTCTGCTGTTGGACAGTGATCTCTTTTCCTGGGTCATTTAGTGCAGTTGTGACGGACCACCTACACTATGGTTGAGTATGCGTTGTGACTGCCATACCAACAAGCCTGGCTCTTTGGCGTTGTGGGCAAGTTGCATGTTTGGTACCCTGTAGGCCTAGGTTTGAATCCGGGTGGGGTGACTGCTCTTGCCTTTCCGTCACAGCAGTGATCGTTCACACTGCCCTCTGTACAAGTTGAGTATATGCTTTTGCAATCTTTCTTTACTTTTTAGAAAAAAAAACTCACCAACAACTTTTTTGCAAGAACGATGGAGGCTAAAGATCTCACATTCGTCATCAACTATTGTACTTGCAGGAAAGTCCCAAGTTTGAGACAAAATATTTATTTAGAATTGTCATCATGATTGTATGAGGAAAAAGTTGACACAGATTTCTAAACTTTGATTACTGACCACCAACAAACTGACAAAGCTTATTCATTCCTTCCTTACATTGACTTTATTATTAATTTGACAGCGGTTTTGGTAGCACTGTTCTACTAATCAAACATTAGTTCAATAATTTAGCTTTTGTTTTAAGTACAGTGTTTTATGTCACCGGCCATATCTTAAAATTTAACAGCACAAACACCAGCATTAACAATAGCAAGGATCTGGCACTGGCAGCCAAAAATGTGACCATGATTAATGTTATTAGTTTAAACAATGAGGTAGGAGAAAACTTTTCACATAGTGTCTCTTTACACTGGATGGAAATATAATGGTGTCATCTGCATAAAAAAATTAGTTTACATTCAATTAACAGCTGTACCCCTGAAACCCCAAATTATTTATTTAATTGATTATAGTAATATGACAACGATGGAGCTGGAAAGAAATTTTGGGGATTTGGGAGTGTTAAATCAGATTGAGGGAGTAAATAAAGTAAATAAAACAAGAAAATAAAAGGTCATTGCAGATTTTAGAGGATTTGTCCTTATCTGAATTGAAGGTCTAAAGATAGAAGGTGTTGTACTGTATAAAGTATAGTTTGTAATGCAACTCTAGGATATTTTAACAACTGGAAATAACTGTACTTCAGCACCTGCCTCCTTTTTTTTGTAATGGCGTTTTATTTGTCCGTAAACATTCAAATAATCTCTACCAAACTGGAAAAATGCATCACAGAATCAGTTTTGTCACCAGTCCCATATACCATCAGCACAGTTTGTGTCCTTCATTATGTAATGCAGTTATCTCAGCATCTTTCACACCAATGAACTCACAGCTAGGGTTTCTTAAACTCTGGGTCAGGACATGAAGTGGGTCATGTGCTTAACTCTGTTGGGGCTTCACATAACAACAAAACAGCACGTAGTCGTGTGTTGCACAATGGCAACTGTAAGAAATCCACTGCAAAGGATAAGTGAATCATATTTTCACATAAGTTGTAATACTTTTTAATTGTATCATTCCTAAATTTAATCTTGTGACAGATTCAATCTAAATGCTCTTTTTTGCATTGAATTTATCTTCATCTTTCTCTTGTTTAGGTGAGCAACGGTTTCTTCACCTGGGGAAGCAACCTGTCCACGTTGTCTGATATCAACATCCGCATCCCCACAGGTAGGGCTAACAATTCCACCAGGTAGTAAATCACTTGTAGCCAAGCTAGATTCAGATTTCATCAGAATATTTATAAACATTTTCAGTAATACTAACTAATCAAATAAAATTACCAGGCGATCCAGGGAATATGATATAAATTACAAAAAATATTGTGAAAAGTATTCTGTGACTGATGTTATAAGCAGATGTGACTTCTGTTAAAATAGATTAGTTTCTGAATGCTGGTAATTGTGATAAAGTGAAATGTTTTGTCTTTAGACCAACACAGAGTCATCTTGGCTAATCTAAACAAACTGTTAAATTTTGGCCTAGTTAGTTAAAGGTCTAGGTACAGTTTATTGGCAAATTTGGCAAAGTTTATCTTAACTTATGTCTAAATGATACTTCTGATGCTAATGCTGTCTGAATCTCACTTCAAAGTGTAGTGTGTTTTTTTACAAAATTTGGACTATAGTCAGATAACATGTAATAAGTATGGGCTGCACTACAGTCATAGCATGACAGGTCGCATACTGGAAAACTCAGTAGTTGTCAGCAATCAGTTCCCAAACACTGTGCCCATAAAGGAACTATGTTATTTGGTTCTTTTCAGATGACCAAGAATGGTCTTTTAGAAGCACAATCCGCTGTTTATCTTTTGGACCTCCAAGATAAAGACTTGCCTGTGAATTTTTTTATGAGATGCCATGTTCTCAGTTCATGACAAACCCCAGATAATAAAAACATGATGTAATTACCATTTTTAATGCTAGCTTTAGAGGTTAGAAGTCACTGTGGATTTGCAGGTAATTCTGTCAGTGGGCCAAAAGTTGAAATCCCTACTCATGCTGTAAGAACACTATTTGAATGTGAATGAAACATGCAGACTTGCTGTAAGAGCACTACAGTAAGGCTGCAGCTATGACACTGAAATACCAAGCGTCAGGAGACCAGGTCATGTTGAGGAGGCTGTCAACAGATGGACCATATAATATATCTCTCACACACACACACACACACACCTTCCCCTGGGAAGTGACTCGCATGCCATCCCAGTCATGCTACTACTAAGATACATGATTTATTTTTGTGCCGAGTGCTGGTGTAATGGTACTGGAGTAACTGTAGAGTGTGTTTCCGTACCTGTATTTCCGTGTGAATCACTTTTTCAGAACGAGGGAGGACATTTTGGCTGCTCCTCACGTCTTCAAGGGAATATTTTAGCGTTAGGACCTGGGTTTAGAGTAGTTAGACTAAAAGTAGGGTTAGGTTTAGGGTTGATTTTAGGCATGCACTGCTGATGGTTTAATTAGGGGATAAGGAATGAGTGAAGTCATTGGAGGAATAGCATGACACGGATGTGTGTGAAGTGGAAGAAGGACTTTTTTCACCTTAAAATTATATATCAAGAGATTAGTAAGCGTTGTGTTGTTGTGGAGTATCACTCTGTAGCTAGGTTACTCGACCTTTCCTGACCTGTGACCCCATTTTAAGGTCGCAAAATTCTCACGACCACAATGTGCCAAGTTATCATGTGTATTTCAGTAAGACATTGTCGTCTATTTTGTTTTCAAAAGCAATATTGCAATATTTACAGTTAGAATTAGATTATATTACTATCTCAAGTGACCTCACGTGGGATCACGTGGGAAACCCTGCCATGTAGTGTATAGTTTCTATAAAGGACAATTTATGAAATTCCTTGAAATAAATTCAAACTCCATCATGTTCTTTATATTATAGGAGGATAACGCCAACAATAACAATCTCAATGTTTTGTTTGTTCAGGTCAGCTGACAATGATTGTTGGCCAGGTGGGTTGTGGGAAATCCTCCCTGCTGCTTGCCATGCTTGGCGAGATGCAGACCATCGAAGGAAGAGTCTTCTGGAGCAAGTAAGACATTACAAAAACACTTAATTAAACACAGTATCTCATGTCACATTAAGTCAAGTATGAAATATACAAGTAAGGCGTATCTTAAGTTTCTGTCACTTTTATCCTGTTAAGCTGATGCTGTTTTGATGCTTGAATGTTGTTCCTCAAATGTAAGTCACTTTTGGATAAAAGCGCCAAATGAGTAAATGTAAATTTCTAAGCTTTCTTGAAACAGACTATCTTTAGGGCCCTATGATTTCTTTGATGCGGAAAACAGAATTGCGGAGAAACTGTAAATCGCGGAATATCATGGAATCTGATATTCTGAACATTTTATATCTGAAAAATTCCGGTTTCACCTAGCATAATACGCATTTTGTCCGTAGCACTTAAACCAAATGAACAGGAAAAAACTATACTGCTATGCTTTGATTTTCTCCATGGGCGCTGCTTCTGTCCTCCGCTCTCTGCGTGTTGGTCTTTCACCGAGGACGGGGCTCAGCGACCTCCTCCACACACACGCACGCACACACGCACGCACACACACACACACACACGCCATCATATCGAAAAGAGTCTGCGCCCTAGCAAGAGCTCATCACTTCAACAAACTCTCAAAAGTGCAACCACATCTGCAGATGCAAGACACGAGCTCCTTGAAGACTTTGTGGCTGTGTAGGTGGAGTGAGATATCCCCTAGGGATAAAATAAAAAAGCTCCATCCGGTCAAGCTTTGTAAACAGGGATGAATGTTTCCCACATGGAGTAGCCTCCGTCAGACTCGCTTATTACTGTGTGTTCAGCAGCATATGGAGACTGTCCTGCAGAAGAGCCGTGGGAAGCAAATATCAGTTATCGACTATGGTAATAACCTATTTAACAGAGGACAATTCACAGTACATGTACTGCAACAATGCAATCACTGTGAATTGTCCCCCCTGTTAAATAGTATTATAGTATTTTAATGTCGTACTGTTGCAATACATTTATTGTGAATTGTCCCCATAAATAATTTCTAAATCCACATTTGCATGATACATTGATATTGATTACATTTTTAATATTTTGTCATTTAATTGTTTTGAAATTGTATTCATCCACACTCTTTGTAATGATAATATACGACTAAATGGGAAAACCCAGTATTCAGGAAAATTAAAATGGAAAACACGGAATATGGGAAAAAATAAAAACGATTTCATAGGGCCCTATATTTTTAAAAGTACTATGACAGTACAACCATTAAGACAGTTTCAACCTAAAATACTTTAGAACTGCTTCTTACGTCTGTAGCCTCTCAAATGCTAATCAAAATTTCCATTTATATATTATCCAAGGCCTCATTATAAACAAACTCAATGCTTCTCTTATTTAGTATTCCATTAAGCTGTTTGTGTTTTCAGTGATCTTTTCATAAGCTTAGTAAGGACTGTTTATATCATATTACTTGGATGTAAAATATTATCTTGTTTGTGCACAGAGAGAAATATTCACAGTTTGAGAGATACAGACAGCGACAAATTATTATCCATTAGCATCAAGTGTCCATGAGCAGTATTCAGTATGATTTAATTTGCTGCTCTGATGATTATAAAATAATTAAATGACGTTGTTTGCGTTATTGGACGTATAAACTCAGTCATAGTCATATTTCATGACATTTTAAAGGAATTTGTTCTCAGCTGAATATAACTGCTGTTCAAGGCAATGACATGGGGATACTATGAAGTTACCATACCAGTGCCATTATCAGTATCATTATTTTGTTTGTCTGTTTCCAACGCGACAGTCAAATTACCTAAAGTCTCATACAACAGCAACAGAAGTGAAAGTTTCTAAGAGTGACTAAATCAATACTAATGAGAATATTGACTTAGCAATAATGAGAATGTGAGTCAATACTCTCTCAATGATTTACCCTGAAGGTAATTTCATTCTGATGTAGAGCGCTGGGCTAAAATGACTGCGAGCATCACTTTGAATCAGAACAGAGTAATATTTACTGTATATTATCATGTCCTTTGTCACGAGCTAACCCCATTCTTCCTCTGACTCCCTGATTTGGTCATTTTTACAGGCATGTTGGAAGCTGTTACTTGTATAATCCATGAGTTTCTATGAGTACCATAAGTAAAATGTCTTACCATGGTATTCCCCTCTTTAGTGAGAAAGACAAGAGCAGCACATTGTTAGTGTATTAAGATTACTGTTAGAGCAAGGAAAAGCATTTGTACATGGACACTCAACAGATACAGCCAACACTAATATTACGTCAATGATAAAGTTAGCTAGCTAGTTAGCAAATTGTGCAAGTTTACATTTAGCTACTTTTAGCTTTTTACTTCAGAACAGTTGAAAATTTATGTTTTTCTGAGGATTGACAACAAGGTGCTTTAGGGTGTTTTGAAGTGCACGCTTTCTTTTTGTGCATATCACTGCATCTTAGAAACCTTTGGGACATTTTGCTCAAGTTTCCTTCCTGGAATTCCAGCTTTTGTTGCATTTATTTCTTACAGGAAGTTTGAATTTTTATCAGCTTTCTGTCTCAACGTCATCAGTCACAATATCTGCAGATTATAGATGCAGATCTGTGTCAGAAGAGAATCTGTCACCTCCAGTACACTAACCTTTGCAGTATGTGTGTGTGTGTGTGTGTGTGTGTGTGTGGTATGTTTGCACATCTGTTTCTATGTTTATGTGACTGCATGTATACATGGATGTATGTGTGTGTGTTTACGTGGTTTCTATCCCTTTACCTCCTGCCTTCTTGCCATATCAGACTGCCTGAGTGTGAGGTGGCCCGCGAAGAGAACATAAGGTACTTTCTCTCTGGTCTCGTCTTTCTTAAACATAATCATATACACAGACTCCGAACATTCACATTTACTTTTTATCCATTGAGCTGATTTGTCTAATTTACAGTGATTTTATTACCAGCAGTGAAAGGCAACTTAATAGCCCTGAACAAACAGAGCTCAACAAATTCTTTTCACAACGTCTGGTGAACTAAAAGCATTAAATAGTATGACAAAACATTCTTCAAGCGTCACCTTAATGTCAGTGTAGCCAGTAAGTGATGACAACATAGACATCTACAGTATATTATATATAGTTCACCAGCTAGATCTGTAATAATATTTATAAAAAGAAAACATTGTAGGACTTACAGTACAGTATACAGTGACTATAAAAACAGAATCAGAACCCACTCTGACATGAGCATTATTAAAATTATCCATCCCCTTGGCTGAACATGAACATATGATTCAGGACTGCTACGATACTTGTGTTTTTGCAGGAAGGCCCCAAAACAGTAATGCCATCAGTGTGTGCAGTTGTAGCCATGCATGGTGGATCTTCCACCTGGTGTTGTTAATACCTCACCAGGTGGAACCGAGATTCATTAGAACAGAAAACCAGTCCTGATGTTTTTTAGCACATTGTAAAGACTCTTAAACTGGGCCAGTACTGTCCCTGAATGTCCATATAGTACCAAAGGCGTACTTGGACTGAAAAGATAGATCATCTTAAGGTAGGGCTCGTCACTGAAATAAGAGTTTATCCGCCAGACGCAAGCAGAGCTGTGCACCATGTATGTTTGTAATTTGAGCTAAAATAGGTACAGGTTAGGTGCTATCTCGAATATCTCTACGTTCTATAGGGCCTCATTATGTAAACGCAGACTGAATATATGTATATATGTAATCCTTTAACCCAGGCCATAGATATCATACGCACACGCACACTCACTCATACACACCCTCATGCTCATAACATGTGAGACATTGTCGAAGAAGCCACAAAACCTAATTATTACAGACAGACAGTGACTGCATCACTTAGATGGCTCTTCATTTCTGGGTGGGAAGGTTAATTTGGTTAACAGTTGGAAGGCTAACATCATGTCTTCATTATCTGGGGTTTGGCATGAAAACACATCTGTCTCCTCCATTTCTTTCTGTCTTTCTCTGTCTCTCTTCCTCCCTTTGTTGTAATTTTCCATGTTTCCTGTGTCACCTTTGACAGAAAATAAGTTAGTTGCTCTTAGCTGTCTCTCTCTCTCTCTCTCCCTTTCTCGACTTTTACTACATATTTCCACTCACAAACACAAATATACACACAGTTGATTGCAGTAGGCTCATTCTAACACGATGACGTGACTTTAACAGTTGGTCAGAGACAGAGGAGACTGACGAAGACATCAGGAGGTATATGTTCTTCTTCCTGTCTCCTGCTTCAGTTTTCAGATGTGAAGTGACCCACTCATTCATTTACATCTCCTCCCTTTGCTCTCATCTGATTTAACGTCATTTTTCATCTTTACTCTGCCTCTGTCAGGAGAAAGTACTGTTTTCCACTGCACTCAGAACTATTTCTTGCAGTATTTCAGGCTGTGTTGTTCATGGACAAATACATATGGGCATATGTGTTTATTTTGGTATTTTTTTCTCTGTGCAGTATACTGCAGTTATACTACAGTTTAGTCTGTGTGTTCCTGATCTTTCTTTGTGTACATTGTGTTTTTTTAAGCTTTTTTACAGATATTTTAGCTTTATAATATAATAAACTTCACGTTTATACTACTTTGAGACACAAAATGCAGCTCAAACTGCTTTAGACATAAAAGAGCAAACAATTTAAACAACAATTAAAATATGAAAATGCATTTCAAAAGAGGAAAGTGAAATAATATACAGTGTTTTATTTACATATTTACTTTTATACAGAATGTTTTTTTATAAACCTCTTGGAGCTGCAAAGTCTTTTAGTATATTGGTGATTGAGAAACTCTGCAGTTTTAGTGAAAGATAAACTCTTTTAATATGTGTCTGTTCAGGAACAACCACATCAGCCTTTGGAGTGTACTATCTTCTGCACATTGAGTTGATGATTGGTTTTGTGCTCTCTGATTTAATGCTGGGAGTCGTCGCCCTAACACAAATCAACAAACTCCAACATGCTCTGCTAATAGAGATGTTTTATTTATGCAATCTCTAGACGTGGTAACAGTTAGGCTTTTTGAGTTAGTACCTTTAATCATTCATGACCCCCGCATAAGTGCTTTCATTCTTTAAGGCTTGGCCCGGATACTTCCATAACACGTGCAGGTGTTTTTTTTTTAATAAGAATACATATGATGCTCTGATAAAGTCTTTTTTATCAATGTCTAAATTTCTCCAATGTCTGACTGTTATATTTGAGACAATACAGTTTCAGGGAGTTTATGAATTGTACTGTGTGCTCCACATTTCTATTACAAATTTCTGTATGTTTTGCTTAAACGTACAATAATCCTTTAATAATAATGTTTGCACTTTATTTCAAGTGACAAAGGGCCAGTCAAGTCATTCTGGATTATATGTTAATGTCCGACAGAACACACAACTAAGTAAAAATAATTACTTTAGAGACTTTCACTACTACACTATTTTGTTGACGCTATGAATTATTCTCTGTTTTTTAGTGGTGTAGCTAAACATCTGACTCCCAGCAAAGTCCTTCAGTTGTTGTTGTTGTTGTCCTTGTTGATGTTTTTATCGATGTTTGTGTTGTGTAGCTGATATTATTGTTGATTTTTGTTATTGTTTCTGCCGTTGATAATTTGCAGCTCATCATTAACCCAATCCATGATCCATATTTCTCTCTCATATCTTGACAAAACATTTTTAATTTTTTGTGGTGGAGTTTGACCGCTTCCAAAGCCTAATCCTCCCCCTTGTCCTCCTTTTTTTTTTTTATGTTTGGGTGTCGCATCTATAAAGCTGGCTAGAACAGGAGTACTGATCTGATATTATGTTCACTAAACAGTTTTTAGGCTCAATTTTCAACAATGGAAATAAAGAAAGAGAAGTATCTGGTAGCCATAAGCTGAAGTTGCAGTTTGGATTTGTAAAAGATATAGTGTGACTTCTGAAATATTTTGAAGATTGAGGTGATAGATATTCTTAAAGGTAAAATAGAGGTAGTGAATACTTGTGAAAACTTGTGTTGACCTACATAAAGAGAAACCAGATACATCACATTTAAAGGATTGTCACAAAAACAACAACAAATTCCTTGTTTCGATAAAGAAATCTGATTTACTGTATTAGCCTTCTTGAAAACAACGTAAATATCACTGGAAGGAATTAACTGTTACGGTAATGTAACTGACCAGAGATGGCAGACCAGTACTCCTGCTCTTTAAAGCTTTATGAATTCAGGACTTCAGGACTTCTCAGTAGTTCTTACTTGTCTGCCTCTGTTTCCCATGATGTACCCAGCAAGAACAGATACTCTGTGGCCTACGCTACCCAAAAGTCCTGGCTGCTCAACGCTACAGTGGAGGAAAACATCACCTTTGGCTGCCATTTCAGTAAACAGAGGTAGAAAAAAACAAAAAAAACACAGCTCACAATAACAACCAATTTCAGGAATGATGTTGTAATAATGTCCTTGCTGTTGGCTTCTTCTTATTATTTCTTTGTAAACTGAGTGTCTTACCCTTTTCATGCATGAATTCTTCTACATAGGACAGATGTGTGGGGGCTATTTTGAGCTATTTTAAGTTATTGTACCATGTCCCAACCATGCATCATAAATTCAAAATAGGGGGAGGGAAGTGGAGATGCAGCAAAAACCTCAGCAATGACCGTAAAATCCTTTTATTCTCATAAAACAAGACCGGTAAAACAACTATTTTTCTAATAAATTGGATGTTAGAAATACTTTTAGCCAGATTTTGATTATATATTTCTTGTACATTTTGTTCTGTGACTGAAAATACATCTATCCACTCCATTGGACGTGGTCAGCCAAAGGATAGATTCTGCCTTATTTTTATATTTTATTTAAAATAATGATACAATTTGCGCATAAAATAACTTTATGTGTATATTCCAAAATTTGTTTTTTGGACTTATAATGAGTTTTACTGAATCATTTTTGATGCTGTTGATGCATGGCGTCCACTGCTGTGGACACATTTCAAAATTAAATATACTGTGAAAAAAGGTTTATAGACATAGTTTATGACTTGTTTAAAAGTAAAAACAAAACATGAAAATAATTATTACATTGTGATTTAATCATTCATGCATGATGAAAAGGTGTCTTAGACTACAACTCCATGATTGTAGGTAGGTTCTGTAGGGTGATACGGTGGTAGGAAGACATTAAGATGTCATCTGGGATGTATTTTTCAGGTACAAGGCAGTGATTGACGCCTGCTCTCTGCAGCCAGACATTGACCTGCTGCCTTTTGGAGACCAAACTGAGATCGGAGAGAGGGTACGCACATGTTTAATTTATTGCCAAGTAGATTAATTATCATTATTACATGGTAAATGTGAATACATTCATTTGCAGTATCTATCAAATGAACACTAAGATTTTAGTGTCAATATGTATTCTGAAAAGAAGGGATAATAAGCTAAAATATCACTGAAAGACATTTAAGCTTATTTTTGGTACTGTACTGATATCTGACTTCTCATCACGTGTTGCTGTGATTTAGGGCATCAACCTGAGTGGCGGTCAGAGACAGAGAATCTGCGTGGCCAGAGCTCTCTACCAGAACACAAACATCGTCTTCTTGGTGAGCTAAACCTCTTAAAAAATGTACAGAAGATTGGAGATAACTGATGGCTTTCTGTCTAATAGATGTGTAATAGCAATTGTGTTTTTTAATTTCACACTGGAAGGAAGGACTCTTCAAGGATAATGACTCCAGTTTTGTTGTGTATAGCTGAATTAGATTAAAGTCCAGCAGAAAGAAACACCTTCTCTTTACTGGATTAGTTTCAGTCATATCCTAACCCTACATTTCTTTATGATTGACTGTATGATACGACAGATAGTGCATGTTGGCCTTTGGGATGAGGAGGTGTCCGTGTTCGCTCTCCGCTGTGCTGTCATGTGTTTGTCTTTTCGAGTAGTTGCATAGTTTCCTGTTGCCACCGCAAGCTTTAATTGGTTATCAAGCATACATTCCACATTAAAAGCTATCAGTGGCATTCTTTTATACACTCATCACTCTTCGTAATGTCTAGAATGGTTTAAAAAAAAGCGTACTTTGTAAAACTGTAATGTTTAATGAGGAGGGGATGTTTTCTTTAATTAACATTATTTCACTATGAAAGTGCAGCTGCTTGGGCTTTTCATATCTGATCTCTGGGTTGAAATACACGTCGTCATACCCACTCATCATAAAAAGACATCAAATAATCATAACCAGAGCTCCATTACCACACGACGGCACACGCTCTAGTCGACCCACCCAGCAAGATAGACACTAATGGAACAAAACATTCATTTAAGTCTTCACGAGTAAGTCAACATCATGGGAACAAGTGGCTATAAACATTTACAGGGAATCAAATTAGCTCAATGATAAACAGGAGACATTATCAGGTAATACAGAGACACTGAGATCTTTTTTACTGTGTAGGCTGGGTTTACTTCATGGCCCTGGTGGAAACTTTGTTGAGATTTTTGAGAGAAAAAGAGTTTAAAATGTCATAAACAATACTGAACCGGCTGATTTTTCTGTCCTACTTACTTGACACTTGTAAAGTATATTCTGTGATATTTCTTTTTACACTCTTGATGGACCTATGGTGGCTGTTGCTGAAGTAACAATTAATAGGGATCCAAATGGACAACAAACAATACACAATGTTTTGATCAGCTTCTAGATTTCACCTGAAGATTAACCTGTTGTTTACTGTCAGGAGGTTGCCTCACAAAATATTCCAGGAATTCAGTTGTAGGGGAAAATAAAAGAGCTAGAAAGCAACATTGTGTAAAAATAAAAGTTAAATGGGATCTCAGAATAGGGGTGGGGAATAGAAAATGACAAAAATGAGCACAGTACACTTGTACCTTTCCTTGACTACTTGTTTTGTAGACTCTTGTTTCTTTGATGCTCAATGTGGACGCCATTTGCGACGAGTGTGTGTAACCTCCGGTGCGATAACACACACAGCTAAACATCACCACATAAACAGGATTCAGGTCATGCATTTTTGTGACATAACCATAATAATACATAATGTATTACAGACTGAGAAAATCAGGTCCCTCATCCATGAGTCCTCTGTTTTTCTTACAGGATGACTTATTGTCAGTGTTGTACACGTGTGTGAGTCACCCTCTAAAATCTGGCTTATTTCTTGTCTTGCTTTTAAATCCGTCTCCGTCTTGTGTCTCACAGGATGATCCCTTCTCAGCACTGGACATCCACCTCAGTGATCACCTGATGCAGGAAGGCATCCTCAAGTTTCTGCAGGATGATAAACGGACTGTAGTCCTGGTCACCCATAAACTACAGTACCTCATACATGCAGACTGGGTAATATAACTAAATAAATTACTATACTTTTCTATGGAACATATACAGTAGTTTTATTTGAATTAATATTCAAGTGAGATTTTTTTAGTGGCGTGTCTCAGTGAGAAAGTCAAATTTTCCATAACATGAATTTCTTGATCTATTTGTATGTATTGGATTCTTATGCAGCCATTTTTTACTACCTTTTAATAGTATTTATTATAGATATCTGTCCTGCTTTTTCAGTCAAGTTTTCCAAATGTGTAACACTAACATTAAAATCCTTCCCTGGGTTAATAATTATTCTGATCTCTGTTACCACAAGAGAAATTAGGACACGCCCAAAAATATGAAAATGATAGTCCCACATATTCTCCTGCATTGACCATGTTCAGGTTTGTTGTTTCATTCATTTTGTGTGTTTTTCTATGTGTTTTGCCCAGATCATAGCAATGAAGGACGGCTCTGTGCTGAGAGAGGGAACTCTAAAGGACATTCAGACTCATGACGTGGAGCTTTATGATCACTGGAAGACCCTGATGAACCGACAAGACCAGGAGCTGGAGAAGGTAGTGGGACAATGTTTCAATTTCTGATACCATAACAGCATCTCCACCTAATTTGTACTGCAGATAACTGATGTACCAAATGGACATGACCAAGGTTTTAACCTGGCAGTAAAAGCTTTAGTCTGTCTCTAATGTAATGTTTCTATTATAATCCACTGTGTCTCTATACGTAGGACATACAGCAGGACAGTCAAACGACACTAGAGAGGAAAACACTGAGGAGAGCTTTCTACTCCAGAGAGGCCAAGAACCAGATGGACGATGAGGACGAAGGTAATGGATTCACCACTTTTCTAAAGTCGGTCCTTGGGGCCAGTTTCTTAACAGACTCTTAAATTTAGTCATCGGTTGTAAATTTCTTCGCCTCATATACAAAATACATGCAGTCAGACATAACTCAGAAGATAAAACCTGAAATGTAAATTTTAGATCTGACAAAAAGTGTCCAAACGGAACCACTGGTACATTAGGATTCAACGATTTCTAACTCTCGGGTGATTAATGTCGCTTGCAGAATCAAATTTTTCAGCTTGCTTTTTAGTAGTTGTAGTGGTACAAAAGTGTTTAATGTTAGTTTGAATCAAAAGTCATTTTAATTACTGATTTTCATTCTATCAGAGGAAGAAGAAGAGGAGGAAGAGGATGACAACATGTCCACAACCACTAACAGAAGATCAAAGATCCCATGGAGGGTAATCCATCTTTGCAGCTGCACACATCTTTTTAGCACATATAGAGCTGATCTAAATGAGCTGAAATAAGTTAAAAATATTACTATTATTATTAAATTATAAGGGATACAAAATAGGAATAGCATGCAATTAACTGATCTGCTATACTAATTACTTTCTTCTGCATCCAGACCAGGTCCATTTATTTTGATCATCTGTTGTATTAACTGCCGCTTCATCTCCTCAGATGTGCTGGTGTTACATGTCTTCTGGTGGCTTCTTCATGGTCTTCCTGATGGTGTCCTCGAAACTCCTCAAACACTCTGTCATCGTTGCCATCGACTACTGGTTGGCTCTCTGGACCTCCTCTAAAACCAATCAGAGTGCTGGAGCAGGAACGTACGCGTCTAATGGGACCCGCCTGGCTGACAGTGCCAGCAGCAACGCCACACTGCCCACACCTGGTAATCCGGAGGCCGAGGTATAATATTCCTGGTTTGTCTTTTTTATTTTGGCCAATTGTGGGGATGAATTTGTCACAATATCCTTTATAATACAATTTTTATGAAATTTTAAGGGGTTGGTACCAAAAGAAGTAGGAGAGGAAACTTACTTTACCTGCTCTGACTAACCCTCTCCTGCTCTTTACCTGCTCTGACTAACCCTCTCCTGCTCTTTACCTGCTCTGACTAACCCTCTCCTGCTCTAAACACTGGGAACTGCCGTAAATTTGCAGCAAAAGATTTGCATTATATTCTAACTTATTATAAAGCAGCGATTCCCATACTTTTTAGACAATGCACACCCTTCTACATCGTGGTTGCTGCACCTCCAAACCCCCTTTCTCTCTAGGTTTTTTTACTTATTCATTTATTTATTTATTTATTTTCTCATCTGATTGGTTACACGTCGCGAATAATAGCCTATCAACACTTTGCTCTGGTGAGCAGCGGGGCTGTAAAGGCAGCTGATATTACTGAAGTTGCAATAAACATCAAATTATAATGATCTGTTTCTATGAAGACAAGCATCATAGCAACTGTTACCCCAGTGAACATACCCGAAGTCACAGAAACGTGGTTTCACTCAACGACACTCTTGAAAATGGCGGCTTTTAAATCAGTCGCTCTCCCCTTACCCACTCGCTGCGCTTAAACACAGCATGCATCTGACTTCTCTGTCTTTTCACTGCAACTCTGAATCGCAATGTAACGTTAGACATGTTACTTTAAAAATTAACAGTGGTAGTAAAGCTTTTTTTCATACTGTGATGGTTAAACTTTGCAATCAATCCACAGTTCACCTGCATGCTGAACCGTGCGGAGGGAGGTGTTTGGTATTTCCATGCCAAAATAAAATATGTTTCATTTTTTTTTTTACAAATCGCACCCTGTTGCAGCCTCAAAAACAGATAACATGGACAAAAAAAGGACCCATTTCAGGATTTGTAAGTACAGTGCGGGTGGCTCATTCTGATAGGGCGAGGAGAGAGTGGGAAAGAGGTGCATGAGTAGCCATTTCCTGTGAGCTAATGATAATAACATTTTTAATTTTTTTATTAAATTTACATAGGAAAGTTTTTAATTCAGGCATTTTTCTTGTCGCGCACCCCCTAGAGGCAACTCATGCGCCCCCATGGCTGTTGTAGAGTGTGTATCGTGAATAAGTATTTTAGAAGGAAATGATTTGGAAATTACAGACCTGTAAAATTACGTGTTACCCTGTTGAAATATATGCAAAGTCAAATATTTGACAAGTAGATTTTAAACAGTTAACGATATATAGCTGTGTATTCCTGTGTGTGTGTGTGTGTGTGACCCACAGAGCGACTCCTACTATCTGCCAGTGTTTATCGTCCTGTGTGCGGCTGGAATCACGTTATGCCTCATCACTTCTCTCACTGTGGAGTTTCTGGGTCTTTCTGCAGCCACCAACCTGCACCACAACCTGCTCAACAAGATCATCCACGCTCCCATCAGGTACACAAACGCACACACAACTGTAACAAGTCCAGACTTAAAGTACATTTTCACACATTTATGTTTTGCACAAAGACTGAATCTGCCAGCTGTCACTGTAATTAAAAATGTTCAAGAGCAAAACAACAGATACAACAGCGATTTGCAAATCATGAATTGTGAAGACCTCAGGATTTTTAAGTGCTGTGACTTAGGTGACTGTCTAATTGAGCAGCTGTTAATCTTCCATATGTCTTCACTGATTTGTTTTTATTAGTTCCCGATAGTCTTATTGGCCCAGTATCAACAGGATGTTAGGTACAGTACCTTAAATTACTGAGGCTTTTCTTTAAAAAAGGATCAAAGACAGGACAATAGCAGTCCTGTCCCCTCTGTGCGATCGCACTTGACTTGGCTTGCTTTTACTGCTTTAGTCAGTAACCACGGTGAACTAAGTATGAAAGCTACATCAGTGTGGTCTCTTTGTCTGACTTACCTCTTTTCTTTTTTTAAGGGGGAGGAAAGGTCAGAAAGTGGGTAACATAACCTTTGTTTAAATGTCAGAGCTGGAAAACAAATGTTGGATTTATTACTTGTCTTCTCAGGTTCTTTGACATCACTCCCCTGGGGCAGATCCTCAACAGATTCTCTGCTGATACCAACATCATAGACCAGGTATGTAGATGATTTCAGGTACAGTAGCATGACAGGCTGAAGAAAAGAGATCTTAGTCACTGTGAAGAGGACTTACCTACATTGTCTTTTGTTGCACGGGAAAAATCTACATATTTTAAACATTTAGTTGACGCTTTCATTCAAAGCGACTTACAATTGCTGTATGTATCAGAGGTTGCACACCAGGGGTTAAATGTCTTGCTCAGGGACACATTGGTGTCTCACAGTGGATTTGAACCCAGGTCTCTCACACCAAAGGCATGTGTCTTATCCACTGCACTCCTAAATACTTGCAGGGAAGAAGTTAGATTATTATACTGTTATCTGTAAACTAAACAAAGACTCCAAACATGAATTCACTCTCACTTCATCGTCTCTTTATCTCTCAGCACATTCCTCCAACGCTAGAGTCTTTGACGAGATCCACGTTACTCTGTTTGTCAGCCATCGGGGTCATATCGTCCATCACTCCAGCTTTTCTGATCGCCTTGGTTCCCCTGGCGGTGGCCTTCTACTTCATCCAGAAGTACTTTCGGGTGGCCTCCAAGTAAGTCAATAGTGTATTTATTGAAGAGTGCATTGTTTTTGCATTTAATCAAATCTGAAAACAGGAAACAAGAACTTTTGGCTTTATGTACACATTAATTCTGGGTTAAAATCTGTTTAAACCTTTCAATTCCTGTTCTTTTTCTGTGTAAACCAAATATAATTAACCTTATTTGTAGGCTTATTTGTTGACTGATGCAATTCCTTTCATTCAGAAAACAGCATATAGCATTAATATAAAGTATGTATGAATGAATATGGGACTGACCTGTTAGTACATACATTTATACATAAAAAAGTAGTTTATAAACTCATATCCTCATATTCATACTCGCTCTCTCTCAGGGACCTCCAGGACCTTGATGACTCCACACAGCTTCCTCTGCTTTGCCACTTCTCTGAGACCGCTGAAGGTCTCACCACTATAAGAGCATTCAGGTACAACACACATTACTTTTTTACGTTTTTGTCCCTCTGGGGACACTTTATAAATTTAGGTTGGCCGCACACTACAGGAGAATTGGGCCAATTCTTGGTCCTGAGCTTGGGCTGGTCGGAAACAATAATTGTCCCACATGATCCTGAAGTGTGAGGGGTTTCCAGACCTAATCTTAAGGTTAGCGAATGGATCGGAGCCGCAACAGCCTATGAGAGCGGGATGACTTATTTATTTTCTCGCACTTTACAATTTATAAACCGTTTTACACACAGTTAGATTCTCTTCTTTTGTTTTTCTGTGTAAAACACAGCACACGCAAGTGCAACTACCTGACAACGACAGTCTCCCTCCATGTTTGTTTATGTCTGAAGTCACATGTGTGTGGTCCTGCGTCTTGACTGAATCTTCTGGTGTGTGAGTTCTTAAGATTAAACTATTAACAATCTGTTAACTCTGTCGTTATGTCTGTGGTATCCCACGCTTTTTAAAGCTGGTAAGAGGAAAATCCTCTAGTGTGCACCAGGCATTACATCCTGGACACTTTTTTTTTGCGTGTAACAGCTACACAAAGCAGATTTTCCACCTTATTTTCTACCTTATGCGTGGTAAGGTGTTAAAATTAAGTCCCTGGAGGCTTCTCATATGCAAGCATGACCTCTGAATGCCTAACCCATAACCTTCACCCCAAATATAATCTAAGTTTAATTCTTTCTGTAAACAAAACTAAATCTGAGGCCTAAAATAAATCGTATGCCAGCTCTCTCTGCTGTCCCCAGATGGGGAATAAGTCTTGCAATGTGACTGTATAAAGACATCTGCATAGCCAGAACAGAGTAATGAATTGCATCCATTAATTGCATGTTTGGTGGTTCAACCCCTATTTTACTCCTGTCCGAGTGTCCTGGAACAAGAAAATGAAATGTTTAGAGAAATTGGTGTGCTTTTTGATAAATGACATGTTGGTTTTGACATTTTAATTCCACAGCCTGGTTATAGTGTTACAGCAATCGAGAAAAACTTGGATCACTTTTTAAAAAACAATCAGTGTCTTGACCACATCGAAAGTAGTAATCGATAAGAATTATTAAGATGTGAGCAGCATTTCTCTCTGTTGTTATAGAGCCAGTAGCGGTGATATCAGTCTTAATATTAATACTTATAACTGCAGTGATGGAAGCATTAGTTCTAACTCGTGTTGTAGTTAAAGTTATATTGGAGGAAGCAGCAGCTTCTTGTATTTCTGTCTTCACCCTCTTTCCCATCGTCGGTATAATCCAACATTAAACAGCTCTCATGCTTTTTTCTCCTCTCCTCCCTGAGGACTTCCTCTTCCTCACACACACACACACACACACACACACACAAATATACAAACACTGAGAGACTCACACACACACACATACTCAAGCGCGTATCATGCACACACCCGCAGAATGAAGACAGATTCTTGGCAATCACTGGATGGTTCCCATTATCCTTGTCCCCTGGTCTCCCTCCAAACCAAGTCTAGTTTAGATGGCAGTGATATACTACTGACACAGATGATAATAAAACCTTGAGATCCAAACTATTTTATTCTAATTCTTATTTTGCAATTGTTTTTATTGTCATTTTTTCTTATATCCTGTTTGCACTTTTATTCGCTGTTATATTTATTATGCATAGTTATAACTCCACATCACGAAATGCTTCATTTGTGAGTTATTTGTTTTAATTTCGATATCACATTGAGTAGAGATAGTTGTAAACCTTGTGGACATCCAGAGAGGATGCTGTCAGTTAGGCCAAAAACAGGGGAAAGGACAGCCAAATGCAAACACCAACAACATAGTATTCTAATGAAGAGATTCATAGAAGAACGGAGGGATGTATTTTGAATCTTATGTACGCTTTGTTTCAGACACGAGGCTCGTTTTAAACAGCGTATGCTGGAGCTGACAGACACCAATAACACAGCCTACCTGTTTCTGTCTGCTGCCAACCGCTGGCTGGAGGTCCGAACGGTGAGAAACTATGTTATGAAATATGTCTCACTTGACTGTTTACTGGTTGTTCCTCCGGTACTATAGAAGCATATCCGTGTACAGTCACTAGATATTTTACATATTATTTCTTGTAAGCCCAGTCTTCACCACATAATCAGTGGCCAAGTTTTTAATGAATAGAATATATGGAGGAATATCTAAAGTTTGTTCATTCTTACATGTTATGTTGATCAGACTCTAGCAGCTCTTTGTTTTTACTTCTCTTACACTTGGTGTATCGGTGGACCTGTGTTCAAAACGCTCTGTAAATCTATATTTTGAGTTATCATGTTCTGTGAGTTAACATTTCTTCTTATTCTCTCATCTGTGCAGGACTACCTTGGAGCAGTGATCGTGCTGACAGCAGCAGGAGCCTCCATATGGAGTTTTAGCTACGGTCTGCGTTCTGGAGGCCTGGTGGGCCTTGGGCTCACATACGCCCTCACAGTGAGTTTTCTCTCTTAGCTTTCTCTGCTCTTATCTGTTTCTTTTTATTCGGTCAATCTGCCTGCCTACTAATGTAAATGGCCACCTGCAGTTTTTGCTGTAAGTTTACTACACATAATTTCAATCAATCCTACACCTACGGCTACATTTTGTAAATCTCATTGCGTTACATCTCACTAATTGCACTTCTCCACTGATTTGCTAGACAGCTGTCGTGATGTAATTTTTGTACTTTAAAAATACATTTTAGTGAAAACAACCTATTTAGTGTAGACAAATGGCATTTCAATAATGTCAAATCCAGGGAAGGTTAAAATCAGGGGCAACTGGACTTGGTTGAAGATACTTAAAAGACGTTTCGTCCCTCATCCGAGAGACCTCTTCAGTTCTGACTGACTGTTTGGGAAACTCAGCTATTTAACTGTCTTTATGGTTGTTGAAGACACCTGAGACCGAGTTTGAACAACCATCGTTGGCAACAGGGTGTAAATGGATTCCTCGAGGGAAGCCATTTAAACCCGGGTCGAGAAACCGTCGCTTAACAGGGGAGTAGGTCTGTGACACCACTTATCCCCTCTGTCCTTTCATGTCTTCAAACAAACAAACGTTCACTTATGGCCTCAGGCGAGAATGCCAACGATGGTCATTCAGACTTGGGTGTCTCCAACGACTACTAACAAACCAGCGGTATCGATCATCTTGACAAAGACCCCACAGAAGTTAAATAGCTGAGTTTCCCTATTAGTCATTCAGAACTGAAGAAGTCTCTCGGATGAGAGACAAAATGTCTTTTAAGTATCTTCAACCAAGTCCAGTTGCTCTTGATTTTAACCTGCCTTGGATAACTATGACCTGGATGACTGAGAACCTTCACAAATAATAATAGCACCCTGAGGTTCAGCTTTAAAATGCATTAGCTGTTATGTAATGTGGCAGTGCAGCCTAGTGGTCAGAGAAGCTGTCCTGTAAACAAACACTTTCAATATTTGGTCCACAACAACAGCCAGTACGTCTTTCTTGTTCCTGTTGTGGGAATATGTCCTATTAAAGCACAATACCAACTACAAAAGAGGACCCTTAATTATGAGGTGCTGTTTCAGAGAGTAGATATTTGTCAAAATGTACTTTTAAGATCTTTTTCTTTCAGTTGATATGAGTTCCTCTGTAAATACATTTGTACGCAATTAAATTACCACAAGTGAAACACACCAAACTAGTGGCTATATAATATTGTGATTTGTGGTTCTGGCACAACTCCAACCAACACCTTGCACAGTGGGCCCTGTCACATTAATCAAACAATACATTCAAAAAATAAATTGTATTTAAAACACAGGTAGAATCAGCAAAGGATTACTGGTTGGTTTCTAGGTGAAATTCTGCTTATTTTAAGCTGATGAGTGTGCTTCATGGTGACAGTATATAAACTCAGCGCACTGGGGGTAGAGAAAAGATAAGTCTGTTGGGGCAACCAGTTCATTTTGGCCCAGGATCCCTTAGGGGGTTATTTCCACCATGGTTTACACTGCGGAGATAAACATTATCTCAATAATGGAAACATGATCCAGTCTCTCTTCATATGTCACTGTGCAGGTCACCAACTACTTGAACTGGGTTGTGAGGAACCTGGCAGACCTGGAGGTCCAGATGGCAGCTGTGAAGAAGGTCAACAGCTTCCTCAGCACAGAGTCGGAGAACTACGAGGGATCTATGGGTAACTGAGTTCTTGTTATCAAGCTGACACACAAATCCTGGTGACCCGATGCAGCTTTGCAGAACTGGTGAAATTATGCATCACTGTGTTATGACGTTTTTCATAATGACCCCGTTAAGCCCAGGAGAAGAACCACATCTTTTGTGCCGTATTTATTGAATATCTCAGACAGCAAAACGGGCCAAAGTGTCTCATTTCTGCATTCTTGCAATAGCCTTCCACCAGCATTTGCCAAAAACCAAAAGTGAAAAACTTAACATATACAGTATAACAGGATAAAGAAAGTAATTTATACACACACACCATACTTCAATATGATTTTGTTTTCCAAGTACAAAGAGATGAAGACCAGCTCTTCTTGTAACTGTAGAGTATGTGTGTGCGCACGTATGTGTTTGTAGTCCAGAAAGTTTAGGGTTTCTGAGATGTGCTGTTGTTATGGTGAAATACAAATGCTGCTGGAATTTCTTCCTGGCTGGAAAGATAACAAAACAGAGCCTTTTCATTATTTAACTGCTTTTCTATCAGGCTAGTGCCACTGAGATAACCAATATCTAACCGAGCCAAAGCAAATCTAACTAAACCAAACCTCGTGAACAAAAAAGGAAACACTCTTGAATCTGCCAAAGGAACTTTCATCTAGACAGAGCAGCTATTTCTGGAAACATAACAAAAACAATTCCTGAGCTTGAAGGATGGCTGGAAGAAACAAAGAAGGTGATGGAGTGAAAAGAAACCAAGAGAGAATAGCTGTTTTTTCCAGACTCTTTTAAAGTATTAGAAAAGTAGGAGAGCGGAGTTAAGGAAAGAGATGGTCTCTTATGAGGGTTGACTTTTCTTCTAAACTTTGTGTTTCTCAGTAAATGACCCAAGAAACCATAAAACAATCCCAAAACCCCTGAGTGACTGGGAACAGAGAGTATTCCTCTCTGACATCATGGAAGCTTCCAGCAAATTGATAAAAGCAGAAAATTCTCCAAAGTTAGGGAGGAACAAACAAAGTCTGTAGCAGAACTATTAAATTCTTATCTTGTCAGTGTTGTAATATGGATAATACTGAAAAATACTTACGTGGTTTGAAGATTATACATTTTTAATATCAACCTTTTGTTATGAATTGAGGTCCGGGAGTTTGAAAGACCTTGCCGTTTTTCTAAGCACAGAGTTGCATGATGGGAAGTGTGGTATCCAGAGTAAAATATGGAATAGGTTGATTGATGACCCTAAATTGTCCTTAGGTGTGAGTGGTTGTTTGTCTATGTGTGGCCCTGAGATGGACTGGCGACCTGTCCAGGGTGTACCCCGCCTTTCGCCCGACGTCAGCTGGGATTGGCTCCAGCCCCCCCGCGACCCTGTACGCAGGAGAAGCGGTTGACGATGGACGGATTGGGTGATGACATTCATGCCACCCTTAGGATGAATTTTAATAACTTTGATGATCCCTTAACTTTTCATTTAGCGTCGTCATCAGGTCAAATTAATTTGTCCAATACTTTGGTTTACTATTTACTACTTATTTGTGGTGTTTTGTGCTAGTTAGCAGCTAGTTAACATTAGCGTGCAAACATTGCCAAACTAAGATGGTAAACATTATAAGTGCCAAACATTTGGATGATAGCATTATCACTGTGAGCATGTTAGTATGCTGATGTTAGCATTTAGCTCAAAGCACCGCTGTGACTACAGAGCTGATAGCATGACTGTAGACTCCGAATGCTGTGACTCAATTCGGATACTTCTGTTTTATGTAGTACACGAACACGACTGTTGTGTACTTAAAGGAAATGATGATTACCGCCAAATTAACATAATAAACACACTATTGATGGCTTCAATCGAACAACAGTATAATGGTACTTATATGGGAAAAAACACATGTAAAACTTAAATTTTTGTAATGCTGTGTTTACCAGAGCAACCGCAACTACTGCAGCTTTCCTTTCCTTTCAAGATTAAGGGTGTCCCGCATTCTACTCTTTTTTGACTTTACACCTTCCTGGTACTCAAGGTATGCTGCGTTTTGCCATAATTGTCAGTGTGAATACTTAAGCACTCAAAATAGCAAGTGCAAATACAGAAGAACGCAAATTGAAACACAGCAGTAGTCATGGAAGCGCACTTGCAAATCACTTGAGTAATTTATGGTGTACTAGTGATTTTTATATCTTGCACAGGATTAGTACAAATGCGAAGTAAGTGGCACGTTAGATTGTGTCCTACTGAGTACTGTTACTTGTCATTATAAATGGTTGTACAGAGGCAGGCATGTATCATTTTCTGATAATCCAAAGTTTTGTTGATTTGAGTATCATACAAAGCAAAATCTGGTAGTTTAGTGTCAAACTTTCACAAAATAAAACACTACTTTGTCCAGCCAAAGTTTGAGTGTAGTTACTTTTGTTCCCACTTCTATAAAAAAAGATATTAGGAATATTTTAATAACCTAAATTGGTGCGTGCAACAATTTTAAATTAATAAATTGTCTGAATCCTATGTAATTAAATGAAGAAGAGCTACACCATTCAGTGACATCCAGTCAGCAGTTCAGCTTATCAATGAGGTCAAAAACTCTTTAACTGGTCATAGTGTAAATAATCAGGACAAACATATACAAGTTAACTAATATTAGAAATCTAGATATCATGCCCTGATATATTATTAAAAACCTTTTTCGTGACATTTATTAGTATCAAAGTAAATATGGCAGTTAAATGTAGGATAGCTTTTAATTTGTCCAGCACTGTGCTAAAGATTGCAGGAATAATAGATTTAAATTCTACAGTTTAAAGTAATAATTTAAGAAAGTGTGGTTATGATGTCAGAATCTCTACAACACTATAATAGGAAAAACTCTACCCTTGTATATCTGCAGTGTTATGACTTGGTCTATATGGTCTATACGCTGCTGTTTACACCAGCCAGGACTGTAACATACACAACTGGCAAGCAGTAAGTGGCCTGTTTTTTTTTTTTGAGGTGGCCTACTACAGACTGCATTTTCCAGTGTGACCGGGTTCACCACCCTTCAGGGAATGTGAGAGTTAAAATAAATGACTATAAAACACTCGTGTGTGTTTCTCTGCCTCTAGACACCTCTCAGGTGCCTGAGAACTGGCCCCAGGATGGGGAGATAAAGATCCAGGACCTGTGTGTGCGCTACGATCCCATGCTCAAACCAGTGCTCAAACACGTCAACGCGTACATCGAACCAGGCCAGAAGGTAATTAACATGAAGCTGTGAAGCGAGCGTGGGCAGGGTTGGGAGGAGTGGTAGCGTTGCGCTTACAGTTGCAGGTGTTGATAATTTGTGCTGATATTTAATATTTATAATTACTTCAGATATCAGTTTGAGCTGTTAATTGTTCATTTTGAGTCTAAAACTTTTTATTCAAACGTAAGATAATATAAGCTACCACATCCAATAATTTTACTGGTAACACTTTTATAAGCACTATATAACATTTTTAAATTGGTTGAAGTTGTAAGCCTATATAGGGAGAATTTAAAATGTTTCCTAATGTACAGTATTTGAAAAATGATAGCTTATGTAGACATAAATAGTAGTTTAATGAAGTTAAAACTAGCAATATTGTATTAATCAATATGTTGAAGAAACCACAGATGGCCAGTAATTCAAACCTGGGATAAGAAATATTCTCCATGCAGCATTTTCCTCCCCACCACCAGCTACGGGCTCTAGAGTAGCTCCTGGCATATGCCCGGTGTTTTTATCCACTTTGTTTGTGTAACCACATGGTAAAGCTTTTTCTGAATTTCACTGCAGGCCTCCTCAAAAAGTAGAATCTGAGATGGGGTTTATCAAACTCATCACAAACTGTAAATGAACACAAAATGTTCCCAAAAGCAAATATAAACATCATTGTGAGTGTCCAACGTAATAGTTTTTTAAATATTGTTTAAATCACAAGCACAGTGTGGAATGTCAAAGGCTAATAAGAAGGCCGTGGGTGTTGTTTAAATGTGGCGTTTTCCTTTGAAGTCACGGTCATGTGCCTCCATTAAATATGAAGTGACACCCGGTTGACCAAACTCCATTCACACTCAGCATGTACCTGCCACTCTGTTATCACGCAGGTGTCTGATGTCTCACAGCGGTGTCACAGTGAAGCTTATTGACTGTCTCTGCTCTTCCTGCTAGGTGGGAATCTGTGGTCGCACAGGCAGCGGGAAGTCTTCTCTGTCGTTGGCCTTTTTCAACATGGTGGATATTTTTGAAGGTTGGTCTGTCTCCTGTCACACTGTTACCACTTCTTTCATCTCTCTCTCAGCTTTGGTTTCTATTCCTGCAGTCTCTCTTGCCTCTCTTTGTCTTGCTGTCTTTCACCGGTTGGGTTTGTTGTGTCGGTTTGGGAACATTACAGGAGGATTTCCCTCAGGTTTGCTGCCTTGAGTACCTCCTCACCATGAGTTGTTTTTTACCCCAAAAATCTCACTGTTTCTGTTTCTCTCTTTGTCTCTCGTTTTATCTTTCTGTCATGTTCCTTCTTAGCCATTTCCGTTAATCTACTCATGAGATAAAGTAAGTTATGTTTACTTTTAATCTCATACTGTCCAAAAAGAGTGAGAGGGAGATGTAAAAATGAGTTCCCCAGTGTCTAATCTCTTCAGGGAGGTGGATGGCAGCGCAGAAATCAGAACGTTTCCTGGGAAATCTATCTTACATTTAGAAACAGCACAGATTGGAAGAGACAGGAATATTTATAGTAATTATTCTCTGGTATCATGATGGATCTAATGCTTGAATTCTTTATTCCTGCTACATTGTAGCCCTTTTACTTTAAAAAGTAGTCTCCCTCTTAGTTTACACTTCCTTTCTAAAGTGGTAATCATAAACCTTTTCAACTGTAAATCTGGTCCCTCTTAGTTCCTCTAACTCACTATAGCACATTACAAATGTGGGTAATTCAACAGTTAGACCCAGAAAATTTTAAGTCCCTTTTTTAAAGTTCCCTCTTCCTTTATTGAGTTATGTCTTTTTTGTGCATGTACTAGGTTTGCAAAGTGAAAAAGCCCAAAGTCCAGCCGAAAGGGAGTTCCCATCTCCCAACACTGCTCTGAATTGCCTGAAAACAGCTCTTTTGTAGTCCAGCCTTTGCTTCCCTTTCTTGTGATGTCACAAGTAAATACGTGTCATAATGCTGACCGAGCGGCTACTCCGACACGCCCTCAAAAACACAGTGGAAAAACACTGAGCGGCAGCACAGCTCTCCTCTCCCTTCCAAACACTAGTTTACCCTCCAGGCCGCTAAAACTGTTTAGTGTTTCTGACCTTCCCCTAAACTTTCCTTTTTTATTCTTAAATACTGCAAAGTTTTAACGCATCAAGCTTTTAGGAACTACCACTTTTCTTTTGTTGAACTGCTCACAGATATTAGACATATGGAAAATGTAACTACTGTAAGCACTGTGTGTGTATCAAAGCCTGAAACATATTACTGTTCCATAGAGCTCCATTGTTTAAAAGAAAAAAGAAAAAACTATTAAAAACACATCACTGCTGCACTGGCTGACATGTTGTCGTCACCATGAGCACTCGCGCTGTAGTTTATTCTGATTTAGTCCCACATACACTGTCCTGCTGCCCCAAATACTCACCAGAGCACCACACTTGGATTAATTGTCCCCAACAAATGCACTATTTCCTCATGTTTGAGTGATATTTGCTAAAAACTATAGAGCTCAGCTGTTTAAGTGAACAAACCAACAGGCTTGGAGCTGAGTGTATTTTCACTCCTGTCCCTTCCCACTCCCACAGAAATACTCCTGTCCAGTCCCAATCCTAGAAGAATGACTCCCATCCCGCTTCTCTCCCGTTGACTATTTTACTTTCCTCTCCCAGTCCTGGGATAAATGGTGAAAGTGACACAGGAATCCCATCACCCACAGGTTCCCGAAAAAATGTCCGACACTACAGACAGGAAGTCATAAAGTATTGAGAAGCTAACATGTTGTTGGTTTTGGTCTTTTCATAAGATTTGTTGACGATGAGAAAAATATAGAATAGCGGCAATAGACTTCTCTTTAAAGGATTATAGAGACAATCCACTGAAGCAAACCTTTAATAAAACATTTAAACTCAATTACAGAGAAACACAGTCAGATGTGGGTTGAGGGGATTTAATTGAGACAAAATAAACATAGTGGGTTTTGGTTAAACTAAATCACGACAGGAGGTAAATTTGTCATCTAGATTTCCTTCAAGAGATTTCTGCGTCATCTCAAAATGTCGACCATCTTCCCTGTAGTATAGAAGTGTATGTTTATGTTAGAGAAAATGTTTATTTAACCGTCCCTCCTTGCATTACAGCTCTTTTTAAACACAGAATGTGAGGGTCTTTTTGTTCTTCGTGTGGGTTGTTTCACTTTTAAAATCCTGACAAGAGGACCTGAAGTGGACTCTTCTATCAGAGGATTAAAAACAGGACAAAACAAAAGACGTGGCCCATTTCTTCGCCAGTCATTTCCAGGCTCTGGGTCAAATTTCTTCAAGACGGCAGTCAAAGTCTTAAAACTGTCTTTTGTATTTATAGGATTTTGAAAGTGAGTTGTAATCGTATCACTCTGTTTTTAGTCTGGATGAAGATGACAGATTATTCGGACAAAGATGAGATTACACAGTCACTTTTTCCATACACGCGCGCACACACACAGCTGGGCAGACATTTCATTTAACAGTAAATTAAGACATGTGTCAGCAGCATGTCCTTATAAAGCAGTGAAATAAAACCAGAGCAGCATCCTGATAGCTCTCTTTACTGAACTGTACAGGACAGTCTTGATTTCAATGCTCCAAAAATAAAACATTGTATTTGACAGACAAAAATAACAAAAATATTTATTTAATGTGAAGGAGTGAAGGATTTTAAGTTTTAAGGACAGATTTAAGGGGATAATTTCAGTTTAAAAATAGAAAATAAAGGAACAGAAAGTATTTATCCTGGAGATGTGTTACCTATCCACAGGGCATTTGTACTGTATGTTAAATTACAGGCAATTGTAGCTCAAAGATACGGAGGCCCTATGGATTCAACTATTGTTTTTACTCTGTTTTCCCGTGACAACGGGATAATTTTCTTGTGATCTCGTGATAACAAAACATTTGTTTTGTGGAAAAACCAATGAAGTTAATGAAAAGTCTTAGGCAGTCAGATTTATTTTAAATAAAAAAATGAACTGGTGTTGCCTTTCCTGCTGATCTATACTGTGACTTTCAGTCTTTTAGATTGGTGATGTGAGCATGTGTTGGTTACTTGCAGGGAAGATCGTTATTGACGGGATCGACATCTGTAAGCTTCCCCTGCAGACACTGAGGTCGCGACTCTCCATCATCCTTCAGGATCCTGTGTTATTTAGTGGATCAATAAGGTACACAGACACACACTCAAACAAAAGCTTCACTGGATCCTGTTTAACAACCTGTGAAGCATCATCGTGTAAAGTCCTAAGAACCTGTTCATCCTAAAGTCCCCATCCTCGCTACAACATCTGGTTTATATTTTTCTTCTTCTCACCCACCATAACACCGGCATAATAATTTTAAATTGTTTGGACAGCACTCTCGGATCATAATAAACATTTGAGGCTTCAAGTCTGAGAGGTTAGTGTCGACAATGTATTTTCCAAAAAAGTGAAAAAAGAATTGAACGTCACCATCTCGACAAGGACGGCGTGGAGTGGAGTAAAAATTAGAAGGTGTTGGCGAATATACTAAAAAGGAGGAACAGGAGTGCAGCTGATGTTTTCGAGCGGGTAGCCTTCTGTCACAGTTTGAAAAGTTCACGCAGATTAATTTCATTACAGCTAAAATAATAATTCCAACAAGTAATTTGGTCTTCTCCTCTCCCTGTGCGCTACCTCAGCTCATTTTGTTTTGTTGCGTTGTTTTTCTTTTATATCATTCTGACAATATCCTGCCAGAACTTTCTGTAATTGGTCCGGCAGTTGGAAACCATCCAAAAAGTGTTTTCACGTGAGAAACGAACTCGACCATTGGTTTGGTCCAGACCGTGGAGGTGTCACACCTGTAATTTTGGTTCGGATCAAACTGAAAAGTAAGTTAGTCCGGACTAGACGAGGTAGGTGTGAAAGGGCCCCTGGATGCTCATCGTTCTTAGAATACGAATAGGAAACTGCAGAAATGCATTTTTCTCAAATGCTAGTGGAACAATGTCCAGAGATGAAGTGACGTCAGAACTTTGGCTCTTGAATGCAATCATACCTCGGCATCACAGTGCTGAACTGACTACACTCATCTTTGGAAACTGTACGGCGGAAATACCACATCATGAGCTCTCAGCCAGAAAGAGAAAAGCAGTGACATGTTCATATCAAGAAAATCCCCAGAATGTAGCAACAAGTGAATAAACAAAATGGAAAAACTGTAGTTTTGGGTGTTTTGTCGTGAAAGTCATTTGACACGTGACGACACAAAGTCCCAGCTGTGGGGTTAGTGGTTGAAAACACAGTGGGAACTCTGGCTGGGACCTAATCTGACTTTTGTCACAGACGTCACGGACTGAGGAGGTCGTTCGAGGGATGAAGGACCCAGCGTCGTTTCTCTGTCTCCTTCTCTCTTCTCATACACACTCCCAACCTCTGTGTGTTTGTCTTACTAGAAGACACAGTGACTTTGTTATAAAAGACCAAGAGCATGTGCTATTTGTTTGGACAGATATGCCGCTCCAGATAATTATGTGTGAGAGAGAGAGAGAGAGTGGAGAGTTTGTGTGTGTCTTGGCGTTTCCACCGGCGTTTGTTTATGTGAACGTAAGCCCGGGGTGAATGGTCGACAGTAACTGTTTCACACTGTTATCTTAGATGTTCTGACACCGTTTGACTCACTCTGACTCTGCCACACACAGATTGAGTAAAAAGCTTGCAGCAGATTTGTCACGTCGTGATTATGTCCGCAGTTATTCTTTAAAATCTCAAGTTTAGTGTTGAAAATAAACAAGGAATTAATTAAGTGCTACATTAGCGCAGCAGTAACGACTCTCTGTATGACAAAGAAATACACAGACACATAAGTAATAAACTGTGCTATGGTTTGCCTTTTCTCCTTTTTTGGCCTTTTCAGCGCAAATTATACTGCATATAAACAGAACAAGCTCCTGGCTGTCAAAGAAATCTGTGCAAAATCTTTGTGTGTGGTTTGTCCAGTCTTCGTTGGTTTCCGTTAGTCTCCAAGTTATCTCACCAGGTGGTGCATTAAATCAGGGATGAATACATTAAAGGTAGATGCAAGCTCTGTAACTCTACCTCAATGAATGAACAATTTCTCTGACCCTAACCAACAATAACTCATAACATCATAAAATGTTTGTGCTATAGAAATAAACCCTCTGACTTCTGTTATTACAAATACGTACACCCAGTGTAAGTTGTGTCCTCTTGTTGCAGGTTTAATCTCGATCCAGAGAGGACGTGCACTGATGATCGACTCTGGGAGGCGCTGGAGATCGCTCAGTTGAAGAACATGGTGAAAGCGCTGCCCGGAGGACTAGGTACATGCCCTCATCTGAAGACATAGTTTCTGAAGGATGCATTGATTAGCGCAAAGAATCAAATATCTTTATTGAACGTGTCTGTTTGCCTGCAGACGCAGTTGTGACAGAAGGCGGAGAGAACTTCAGTGTCGGTCAGAGGCAGCTCTTCTGTTTGGCCCGAGCTTTTGTCAGAAAGAGCAGCATCCTCATCATGGACGAAGCCACAGCGTCTATAGACATGGCCACGGTGTGTGTGTTTTTGTGTGTGTGTGAGAAATTAGATAATGTACAATTCTCACTGATGTGAGACAAGTACATTTACTGTGTTGTAAGTACAAATTTGAAGGACTGTATACTATTTTATACTTTTACTCCATTGCATTTATGTGACAGTTTTAGTCACTAGTTACTTTGCAGATTACTGCAGAGCTGCAGTCTCTATTCATTCGACTTACACTGTAAATTTCCAGCTAAACTGACCCTTTCTCCCTCCCTCTCTCTCTCTCTCTCTCGCCTGCCATTCACCGGTCTTGTGCAGAGTTTTGCGTGCATGCCGTGCTGCCGACAACTGCACGCATGTCGCCGTTCCATTTCAAGTAGCCGGCTATTTAAAAACGATATAATATTCTTTGTGTAGTTCATCAACGGTGATAAATAAATTATCCGAAAGTCCCTCTGCACAACACCAGTGAAGCCGGAGCTCCGCCTCTTCTGCCACTGGGCTACACCATAAACTGTATCAACGCTACGCCTACACATGCGCCTACACCTACACATGCGCACCCAGGGTCAGGGTTACAATTTTGGATTTATTGACGCACTTTAAAAACCATTTATTGTTTTTACGTGTTTATTTACAGCATTAAACGTTGAAATGTGTATTGTAATAGGCTGTATATTAACTTATGTGGGAGTAAACTGATAGTTCCATGTAAAATCAGACGTTGAGCCACCCCCATATCGCCAAAATGGCGTGATCCTTGTTTCGCAGCTTCGACTTTGCGATTGACAGTCGAATCAGGCTCCACCCATCGAAGCATCGAATCGTCGACTATTTGGGGTCAGCCTTAAATAATACTATATGATAGTAAAACATAATTTTGAGGCATTATGAGTACTTTTGATACAGTTTGTTGATAATATGTATGTACAGTTCCTTCCTATTCCAATAATATTCCCTTTCAAATAATAACTCTCACCATCTCTTTTCTTCCTCGCAGGAGAACATCTTACAAAAAGTTGTTATGACAGCATTTGCAGACAGAACAGTCGTCACAATCGCAGTAAGTCCTCCAGTCTGTCCTTCTGTTGATTTTGTTGTTGAAAATTAAACAAATGTGGAGACAAACCACAAGGTTCATTTGAACTAGACGATCAGCAAACTCCAGTCTTCCTACAGCCGGCTGAGGTTCTTGGTTTGTTCAGTGCTGACGGATGCAGATATGTGGCTCTTTTTCTTTGAGCTTCATGTGCATCTATTGCATTATATTTTCCATATTCTTCCCACTTCACACTAACTGTTTTCCCATGCTGTAGCTAATATGGTTTATATTCCAGATGCATTTAGCGACTTTAATGTAATCTGCTTTCCTTTTCTGACTTATCTCTCTCTCTGTGATACTGTCTTGTTCTCTGTTTATTCTTTCTCCCTCCTTTCTTTTCTGCTCCTCTTCTTTCACCTGACCTTCTTCCTCCTACCCCTTTCCTATAACCATTCCCCTTTTTAAATACATCCTTAATTCATCCCTTTCTTCCTCTCCAATGTCATAAATTTGCCTCTACTCTCACTTTTCTGTCCTTCGACACTTTTCTTTTACTCCTATCCTCACTTGCTCTATCCCTCCCATTTCCTCCTCTCCATGATTTTCTTTAATCCCTTCCCCTGTCCTCCTCTCTCTCCCTTTTATCCTGCCGCCAGCACCGCGTGTCTTCTATCTTGGATGCCGAGCAGGTGTTGGTCTTTTCCTCAGGGATCTTGGTGGAAAGTGACTCTGGTCCCAACTTGCTAGCACAGCAGGAGAGCCTCTTCAGTGTGCTAGTGAGAACTCACAAGTAGACCCGGATCAGCACAAACCACTTTGGCACTGCCCGACTCTCTTCTGTTTTGTCTCTTCTTCCATTTTTCCACCTGTTTCATGTTTTTTTCTGTACTTTTCCTGGCTGAGTCTGAGTCTGCTGAAGCCTTGCTGCCACTGACAGCCTGGTTGGTATAAAATATATTAAACTACTGCATGCTGTTTTGTAGATGTTTCATGTCCATGCAGTATAATTTGGCCACACCCTGCTGTGTAAAGGGTTGTGAAGATTTGGAATATCCTTCTGCACGCCACTTGTTTGGGTGTCATTTTCTTTAACAGCTTCTATTATATATACTGGTAGATTTAGACCTGCAATTCAATCGAGAATGTCTTCCCAGAGGTTCAGCTATCGAAACTTTGCGTGAGGATAAAATACATACAAATACTAACTGATAAAAGGACAGCTTCACTAACTGTTTTTGTTCAATATCCAATATATTATCCATAATGATGTAGAGACAGAGCTCAGTTAAAACTTTATGGATGAAAGATACTTTTGTTTCAGATTAATAACTCACCACTCTGAAACTCTCGCTCCAGTCCATGTTGCCAAGCTGGTCGGCAACATGTACAGCTGAACCAAAGCCTTGTTTGCTTCTCGCTGACTCGCCCTTCTCTGCTTCTGATTGGCTATCAGTCCTTAACTAGGAACTGCGCATGTGCAACTCCCAACAAAGATCATTTAGAGACAAGATGTGTCACTCCATAGCTAAAACGAAGCCTTCAACACAGGGTGAAAAGAGGAGCTGCAGCAATGTGTATGACAGTATGACAAAAAATATGGTGTTTTTTGAAAACTAAACCATGTAAACGTGTTCTGGTACAACATCTAAATAAGATTTTGAACCTGAAAATGAGCATAATACCTCTTTAACACTTAATAAATAACCTTGTTGTATCTGAATCCTTCACTTTGGAAGAATGCCCTTCAAAACGGGTTATTCTTTGATGTTTTGAGTTGCCGATCCTCCTTCCAGCAGTGTCTAACTTGGGTCTGAAGTAGAAAAGGCAACATACAGTGTGTGTGTGTGTGTGTGTGTGTGTGTGTGTGTATGTATGTATATATAGATATATAAGTTTTTTACTAGATTACTCACCACTGCTGAAAGTAACTAGTTACATTACTTTTGGATTACTGTGTAACATCACCTGTGATGCACTATAACAATATATAGTTACACCTCATATATGCTCAGATCAACACAAATCCCTATTACAATGAGGACATACAGAGGATCTCTCTTATATGCTCTTTAATACTACAAAGTGACAGCAGAGTTGTGAACATCAGCCCAACATTTGTCAAGATAAGAACAAGGCAGGAGTACAGTACTGCAGACTGTGATTCTTACTGCTGAATCATTAATAGCTGCAAACATTTAGGCCTGGAGCTGACTGTGAAAGAATCAGGGATGTGTGTCTTATTATAATAATAATAATAATAATAATTAGTCTATTATTATTATTATCATATGTAGCCATTTTGCCATAATTACGCTGGACACAACGGCTGCGTCTGTGTTTGCGACCTGACCTTTCTTTTCTCCGGGAGAGGGAAGAATTTAGGAAGTTGCGTGGTGCTGCGGAGAGCCCCCAGCTGCAGTAGTGCATGGATCATGCGTAATATTCCTCCAGACAGAGGGAACGATCACGAACCGTTCACAGCGCTTAGCGACACAACCTGTACCGAAGAGGAAGAGGGAGTGGGGCGGTGGAGCGTACAGGGCCAGGAGATCGAGGAGCGATTGGCCCGCTGCGGACGGTCGGTCATCGATCCCTCTGGCTGGATGAAGTCTGACGCACCGCATGATCCATGATGATAGAGAAATACAGAGATTAATGTCAGTAAAGCATGATGTCAACCCAAAATATCACAAATCCTACTTTTAGGGGAGCTGATGTCTTATTAAGGGGTGCTAAGCTCACCCTGGCTCCCCCGTAGTTTGCACCCTGGGCAGGAGTCTCTCAAATCGTTTGTCAACCTGACAACCTGTTCTGCCCAGGCTAAAGAGCCTCGCCACAGGCGCACTAGAGGGTATCGCTGTCCTTTCACGAAACAATATGAAGTAATACCTCCACCCCTTGAAAGATTTCTTTGGCAGCTCTGCAATTTCTGCGTCCTCATGGACTGGCGCTGAAGTCAAAAGTGTGAAAATGGACGTTTGATGTATTTTTCTTCTCCTGTTATGCGGATAGTTCAAGTACCAGTACGCAAGTAATGCGAGTAATTTGTTATTACTAACTGTAATGTGATTACTGAAGTTATCAACAGTAATGCGTTACATTACTGCCTTACAGACAAAAGTAATCTGATTATTGCCGGTAGATAAAACTCTTACATCACTGCTGTGACTGCGTTTCTACCACATCTCTGATTTCTCTGTATGTTTTTTTTGCTGTGTTGTCTCTCAAAACACAGAGTGGTGTGTTGCATGTGACTTTGCAAACTGATCCGCTGTGACTTTCCAGTGGCTTTATGCTATATCTTTTTGTTAAAGTCATCTACATTAGACCTGTTTTCCTCAGGTGCTCCTAAAAAGAGCACAAGGCCTCTAACACATAAATCTCCCAGACATTGATTGACGGCACAGTCATATGACCGTAAATGTATGTGGTGACGAGCATTTATTTTAGTGACATAAACGCTTTTCCAGAACCTAATTGTCATTGTTGCTTTGTTTCCAGCACCGTGTCCACACCATCCTAACAGCTGATCTGGTCATTGTGATGAAGCGAGGGAACATTTTGGAGTACGACAAACCTGAGACTCTGCTGGAGCAGGAGGACGGGATGTTTGCTTCATTCGTCAAGGCTGACATGTAGACCCACGGTCGACTGACAGACTGATCCGTTGGTTGATCTACTTTTTTTTTTATCTTGTAGAATTATTTACAGACGTCAGTGACACGAAACACTCCAGTGAAGCCAATAATACACTGTGTTTCTTTAATAAGAAGCTTCTTTTCACCATCAATCACCAGAAGGTACATTTGAAAAGTTGTACTTGAATCATTCAGTCAGCCAATTCAAAATATGGCTTTTCTTGTTTGTACAATTTTCACATTGAAACAGCAAAAACACATATCCAGAGAGTTTTTTATTTCTTGGGTCACTGATCTTTAAGCAACCAGTACTAAGTGGACAGCGTTACATTAGCAATATGAAAGAAAAAATAAACAGCTCAGCGGCTAGATCTTGATTTATCCGAGACAAATATATCTTTCTTGTGATCTAGGACTGGGAATATTGAAAGGATAAGGAGGCATTAATCTGTCTGTGAAGGTTCTCAGTCATCTAGGTCATTGTTATCCAAGGAAGACGTTTCGTTTCTTATCTTGGGTGTGAGCCGAAACGTCTTCCTTGTCTTCGAGCATCTTCAACCAAGTCCAGTTGCGATTGATTTTAACCTTCCTTTTAGGCATTAATCTTTATATTTCTTTACATTTATATTTATCTTTATATTATCAACAAATCCTACAAAAAGACCAAACCAATAGTCTCTAACAGTGTTGGGCAAGTTACTCAGAAATTGTAATATATTACTAGTTACTTATTACTCCTTAAAAAAGTAATATTATTACTGTGTGATAAAAGTAACTAGTTACGTTACTCGTTACGTGACTATATTAATTTCCAGTTTGGGGGGGGTTCTAACTTTGGACAGGTTTGTGCAGCGGTAGAGAGGGAGAGAGAGAGAGAAAGAGGGAGCGAGCAAGGAGGTGCTGCACGAACATATGCTCCTCAATCAAAAAGGATTTTAAATACGCCTAGTAAGAAAAAACAGAAAATCAATATGTGTGCTTTCACTACCACCCCCCTTCACCCCCCAACAAAGCAGTCTCTCCCGACTTTTTTAACTAATATCATATTCAAAACATCAGCAAGAAGTAGGTTTTTTACAAGACATATAGCCTAGGCCGAACGTTTCTTAAATATAAAATAAAGCAAGTAAATCCTGACTTTTGAACCGCTGTTTTTCTGCACATGTAGCTTATTTATAAGAGCAATATCCAGTAGTTACAAAACGTTACGTTAACACCACTCTCTCCCGACGAGTCCAAGCATCAGTGACAACAGCTGCTGGAGTTTCTGTCTGTAACTTAAGTTTCGCGTTGCTGTGCTGCTTCAGCAGATGCTTCAATAAAAGCTCTTACAGCTGTGGAAAGAACGTCTCTCTCCCTCGTTCTCCTTTATTCCTAGTTTTCATGTCACCGGACATGAACAACAGAAGGTGCCACTGACCTGCCTTACTGTCGTAGATTTACATCACGGATGGTGCGTTCAGTAACGAGTAACGCAGCGTTACTTGCATTAGTAACTAGTAATAATATTACTGATTTAGAATAGTAATTAGTTAAACTACTAGTTACTGGGGAAAATAATATTATTACAATAACTGTACTAGTAACGCGTTACTGCCCAACACTGGTCTCTAAACACTTTCTGACTTCCTGTCTGTGGTTCTCAGCTTGAAGCCCATTGGTTGTCACAGTACTGAAAAGGTAAACACCTCACAAATATATAATTTCATTTAAAACCCTCCATCTGATAGAATAGGATTTTTGCTTTTAGATGTTTTATTACAGCAAAATATTCATACATTCTGTCATTGTGGTACTTACGGTATGGATGGAATTAGAGATTTAGAGAATGGTGGGTAATATATTAGGTTTTAAATGTGCCATGCTTTATTTTAAATTAGAATTTCATTAACTTTTTGCTGGGGACCCCCCCGGGAACATCTTGAAGTACCCATGGGGGTCCCTGAACACCACTTTGAGATCCACTGCTCTAGTGAGTATTTGGGGAAGCAGGATGGTGAATTAGTCCAAATTCATTTTAATGAAGGAACATGTTACTCAGTGCACCAATGTGGCTCTGGAATTTAAAATGATGTGCAGAGACTGTTTCTGTTTCTATGCTGCAGAGTTGTTTATTGGATAGTTTTACAGACTGAGCTGAACTTGCAGCTCCTGTAAGCATCATGTTGAACTAATAGAATAGAATTGCAAAAGTCTTTAATTATCTTGTTAATACTGTCTTTTACATTTATTTTAAACATATGCACAACACGTATCACTTTTATTAATCTTTAGCACTCCTATTATGCAGTATGAAAGCAAAAGAGAAACATTTTTAAATAACTGAATGTTGGCTTCGGCCACTCTTTCTGTGCTCTGCATATATCAATGCATTGTGCAGATTCTCACTATAAAGGATTTTAAATCCTAGTATTTTAGTTTAGTATGTGCTACATTTATATATTAAGTTCTGCCATAGAAATAATACTGACAGAATTGACTCTGCAGCCAATAAGCAGTTTTTTACACCCTTTGTTGAATCACATCAAACTGTCCAAACAGCATTGAACCTCCCTAAGGCTGCGCTCGCATCATGTCAGAAGTTGGAGAAGAACAGGATGACTAAAAGCTCTCATTCCCAAATCCAAGATGAGGATTGTAAAGTGGATTGTTCTTCTGAACTAATGTGACAAAGGAAACCAACATCGAAAGGATTTGCTGCTATTTTTGGTGTCAGTTTTGAAACACTTGTGCAACTTGTGATGCCAAAAAGGAGACCTTAATATGTCCTTCATCCTACTCGAAATTTCCACCAGGAGGTTGAGCTGTGTTTCTTTTCCCAGTTTTGGGATTTTGCTGTATGATGTTAGCATGGCAAACATTTCCTTGGGACAAGATCAGGAGACATCCTTTTTGCGACAACAGAGCGCAAAGGGAGGATCCTGTGCGTGTGGAGCCAGTCGGATAACAACTTTGGTGTAAAGAAGGTGGAAATATACCCGAAACAAATCCAATATGAGCTTTTTAACACACCGAAAGAATTTGTTCATTCACATTAATTACATTTAGAAAAGTACAATCCAAGCTGGCTCTTCATGAGGTACAGAGTAATCAAACTTGTTTTACTTCTGTTCATTTTCAAAGTGAATCAGTTTAAGGATAAACTTGTTGAAGTCGGGAAAACATTTTTGCATTTATACGAACAGCAACAACATCCGTCGTCCATTAAACCAAACTTTAAAATTTATTTTTGTGATTTAGAGTTTATAACATGTGACGTTTGTAAATTGAACACCGGAAGAAAAAATTTCTTATATAGCACAATTTGGAAGGTTGGCTATTTTATTTCTGGTTTACTTCCACCTTCACTCTGTTCTATCAGTATGTATTTCTACGCCTACACTAGTACAAACACTGTAGGGTGTCATGGCTCAGGCTGAAGCCGGTGAACCCCCTGTCTGTCTGTGGTCATGCTTTGCTGAACTTATTATTCTCTGGGACAATAGACACCCAATATGAGATGGTTTGTTGTGGACTGGTAGTTATTTTTAAGAGTTCTAGTGGAAAGTTGTTTGATCCAGAATCCAAATGTTAATCAGTTCTAGTTGCTGAAAGGATTCAGCAAGTTATTCACCGTAAAGCTTGAAACTTAAATCTACATTAATTACTAATAGTTTTTAGACTGAAAATGAATCAAAGGGATTCATGTTATGTCAAGGCCGCAAATTCTGTCCCTGAATTTAGCAACTAACTGGTGAAGAAAGTGAAGAATTTAGCTGTTAAAGAGTCAGATATTTGTCTCTGGAGTGGAGTCCAGACAAAAACAGATCTAAAAGAGGAGTGGATAACCGGCTTAACATTTACCAAGTGGCCACAAACACACATTTAACTTCTTTCATTTAACTTTAACACTTTAACTTTTTCCAGTGCAATTGTACTGATGATTCAACTAGAATTTTAATTCCCAAACAAGTATTGGAAATATTGTCAGGGGCAATCACAAACAGCATTTTAACTACATAAACATTTATTAATTTAGCTGACACTTTTATCAAAAGCAACTCACAATTGCTAGATATGTCAGAAATCGCACACCTCCCCGGCAACTAGGGGTTAAGTGTCTTGCTCAGGGACATATTGGTGGTTATGTTACAGTGGGGGATTGAACCTGGGTCTCTCACACCATGTGTCTTATCCACTACGCCAACACCACCCCTCAACATAGAAGTGATTTTTCCTTTAAAGCAGTACATTGACATTTTTGTGAATTAACACTTTTTCCCTCTCTGGCAATGAGTTAAATGATTAGATTCCTACGACTCGCATATCTGTACAGCTGATTAGCTTAGCTTAGCACAAAGACTGGATACAGGGGGAAACAGCTAGCCTGGCTCTGGCCAAAGGTAACAAAATCCACCTGCCAGCACTTATAAAGCTAACTAATTAACACGTTATCTCGTTTTGTTTAGCCCTTAAAAACAACACTGGGCGCTAATGTGCCAGACTGTTATGTAATAAATGTTAAATTCTTAGTTAATGTGCTTAAAAAGAGTCTACCAGTCTGCCAAACTCGTCATGTTAGCAGTGAATACACTAGTTTTCCATGTTCTCTTTATTTTCCATTAGCAGCCAGTGTGCTGCATTAAACAATGTTTGTGCTTCTGAACAAAATAACAAGGAAAACAAACTGCAAATAGCAAATATTTTCTTTCCATTTTACACTTACAGAATCACAAAGCTGTCTCAGCTAAGTGATTAAGAGTGGTGCTATTGTCCCTTTATTATCGTTATGGATTATACTTATTAAGTGCTTGTAAATGAGTTTTTAAAATAACTTTGTACTGTGCTGACTAAATGCCAAATAGATTCTTTTGCAAGAATTTCAACATTTTTTACAAAATGTACTCGCAGATGTTTCATCTCAAGACTTTTTGTCAGCCCCGCCCCTTTTACACAAGTTATTCTGTAATATATTAATAACCATGTCCATGGTTATAGCAACACCTGTGCCACGTGTTGATCACAAGCATGGAAGCACACTTACATTAGATCCTTCTTTTTTTACATTCAAATGTGTCTGCCTTTCTCCATCTATGTCCTTTATTTTAACCTTGATACATCTTTTGTCTATTCAGTTAGCTCCTCCTTCTCAGTCTTCTCCTAATGACCTAACATTCTTCTTCTTGTTTGATCCTGATTCAGCCTTGGCCAGAACTACATTTCATAAATCCTTTGTGTTTAGTTTTACTGCATGTGAGTGTGTCTGGACTGGGTGTTTTCCATGCAGCCTCTGTGCTTTTGTCTGAACTCACCAGCAAGAACCCGCAGCCCTGCTGCCTTGTAAACTCTTCAATTCTCACCCCAAACCATATGTCTTTTATACGATGTCAATGCAAAAGCAGACAAAACACAGAGAGACAAATTATTTTCTTTTAGGACACAGGAAATGCTGATTTTAATATTTCTTTCCCCTGTAGTTTTGGGGAGCAAACAAATAAAAAGAGACTTAATGTTTCTTATTTTAAATTCAGCACATAGGTGGCAATGTTGGTTAATTTAGGGTTGACACTGACAGTCCATATACCTGCATGTAACACAGAGTGAACATAACACATTATCTACGCAGGAAAACATGAATGCGTATTTAACTTTTGTCAGAAAACATTTGTACAAGTACAGGTTGATTGTTTTGAATTCTAAATGTATGTAAGTGTACATTCTGTATATCCAAGAATTTCTAAACTTATATAGCAAAGTATTATTATGTGTGCCTAATTTTTTTTTACACTTGGAATGATAATAAAATGGTTTTAAGTGAAGTGAATATTTTCTTTCTGCAGGACAATGATCCTCCACCTGTTTAATATATTGCTGAATGGCGCCCCCTGGTGCCCAAGTCTCACATTTCTAATTGCTATTACAACAATTTAAAATTTTAAAACCACGGAGTAAAGAATTTAGATATGTGGTTTATACATTTCTTTTTAAAACACAATAACAGCACAACCGGAAAAACAATTATTCAGATTCAAATCAGACAAAAACAAGTAAAATTTTACCTGTATGGTTTTGTTTGTTACCATCTAACAATTCGTTCTACATTTCTAAATATAAAATGTTTATTTATTTGTGTTAAACCATTGTTAGTGGAGTGGGTTAACATTTAGCTTGCCTGGAGACGATTTCTATATCATCATGTCTAAAAATGATTGAAGGCCCTTTCTGCATTAAATGCACAGTTTCTCTTACAAAAGTGTTCTGGATGCTCAGAGACACTCGGGAAAAAAAGAGAAAGAACAGACTTAAAACCATGTTTCAAGTTAATCTAGCATACATTACATCATTTGATTGCAGCTGCAATTTAAAAATGAGAAGGAAATGTAAACTTTAGTTAATTAATCATATTAATTCAGATAGTCCATTTGCTCCTTTTATGAGACAGTTAATTAAAATTAATTAAATTAAAGCCCCCCTGAAGGGAACACTGCCTTATGATGAATGTCCATTTTCCACCCTGAATGACAACTAAAAAATATTAAAATAATCTACCAAATAAAGGCCATGACAGAGACCAAATTACACACCTATATGCTCTGTGTTTACACCAGGGAACAGCATCCATTAGTTTTTACATCTTAAACCCGTTACAATTATGTGGATTGGTGGAAACACAAATAAGGGGGGTTTTGATTCGGTTCGGTTTGATTTGAATTGTGTTTTCCGGCGGTCCCTGAATGGTCCTTGAAGGCAGCGGCACCCTGGTCTGACCGAGTCTGGACTCTGGAAGTTGGACTACGTCAACAGGAGAGTGGAAACCGTCCCAGCCCTCAGAGGAGCTGAGCAGAGGCGGCGCGCTGCGGTCGCTCCGAAACATCCCCAAATGTAGACAGATGGAAAAGAGTTTGTGCGTCTTTGAGCCTTTTTCCTGCACGTGGACATGTTTGATCCGCGCGTAAAGACGCACTGAAAGCGGACTAAAAAGCAGCTTTGACGCGTTTTCTTGACCATCAAGAGCAGTAGCAGAACATGTTGGCAAGAAAAAGCATCATCCCGGAGGAGTTCGGTTTGCCGGGGCTCGCCTCCCGCATGCCCCGCAAGCCGGTGTTCAGGGACCGCGTGAATAAAGCGCGCTTCATTGCCAAAAACGGCTCGTGCAACTTGGCGCACAAAAACATCCGCGAGCAGGGCAGATTCCTGCAGGACGTCTTCACCACGCTGGTCGACCTTAAATGGCGCTTTACTCTGGTCATCTTCACCACGACGTTTGTCAGCAGTTGGCTGCTGTTTGCCATGAGCTGGTGGCTGGTGGCTTTTGCGCATGGAGACCTGGACCCGGAGCGGCAGAACGGGACCCACTGCGTCACCGACGTCAAGTAAGAAAGAGACAGAGCGCTGTGAATATTATAGAGGTTCAAATTAATAATGCAATTTAGATTGTTGAAGTGTGTTTGATGAGATTTGAAACATGTTTTTGCGGTCACTTGAATCCTTTCCATCTATCCTCGGTTGATCCAAACCTCCCACCCTCCTCTTCCTCTTCTCCTTCTCTTCCTCTTTCTCCTTTTTAAAAAAAAAATCGATAAAAGAAGAGGAAGAGAGGGAGAGAAAGGTATGCATTAGGTTAAGTTAGGAAACTTTTGCTCTCATAATTTCAGGGGAAATAAAGTAAAGATGACAGGGGAAAGGAGAGTTTGGCACCTCCCTCTTATTGTAGCTCACCAACACTTCCCCCTTCCATACTTTCATCTTTCCTTCCTCCTTTCTGCCTTTCCTTCCTTCCTTTCTTTCCCCCCCTTCCTCTGTCTCTCCTTTTTAGTTGTCAGCCACTTCTCCCCGTCTTCTTTCTTTTTCCACCACTCCTCAACAGTGATGCAAAGTCAGTACATTAACTCAAGATCTAAGTACAATTTTGACTACCTACTACTTGTTGCTCAGTATAACACTTATAACACTTCTCCTTCAATACATTTCAGAGTGAAATGTTGTACTTTTTACTCCATTACATTTATTAAACAGCTACAAGTCACTTTTCAGAGTAACTTTTTTGTTTTGTAATATAAAACACATTGTTGAAGATCAAACCAGTGGTTCCCAGCCTTTTTTTCTTGTGTCTTACAAAAATCAGTGTTGGGGCTTCTTGTCATGTTATAGATGTTAATGAATTATTAGCAGTTCCACAAAAGAAACATTTCCCCTCTAAACTTCTCACATGGTTTGATTAAAATAACAGTTGGAATATTTCACAAAGAAAGCAAAAAAGTCCAAAAGTCAAAACAGATTTGATCAGAACATTTTTTTCTTCTTCTTTGCTCTACCATTAATCATTTCACGACCCCTCAGATCTGTCTTGCGACCATTTGGATGGGCCCGAGCCCTATTTTGTGAACCACTGGACTAAACTAGCTGTTTATAACTGAAACTGTAGGCCTATATAAAGTAGTTAAAACTAGCTAACTGTATTTAAAGCAGTTAAAACTAGCTCCACCTCAAGCAGCTACAACAATTAAATGCTGCATATTGTTGCATCAGAACTGAAAATGGATTCAGGGTCCATTATTCTGCAGAGTGAGTACTTTTACTTTTGATACTTTACAGACAAGGTAAAAGGTAGGTTAGATTTATTTGTTATTTTACAACACAGGTGAAGATTGTAGTTCCCTTTATGCCACTCACAAGGAGCAAAAGTTTTATAGTCTACAAAAATTATACAATTATATACAGAAATAAAACTATTTTACATGGTTCAGTGCTGAGGATTCTCACTGGGGGAAGAAGCTGCTCTGCAGTCTGGTGGTGTGACAGCAGATGGCAGCAGTGTAAAAAGGCTGTGGCTGGGTGGGTACTGTGCTTTTATCATTTTGGCACTGCAGGCACCTCACTGATATCACTGATGCCCAGTAATGAACTTCTGTGCGGTTTTAATCACCTCCTGCAGTTATGTAGCATTTTGAATAAGGACTTTTTCATGTAATGGAGCATTTTTACAGTACTTAAATAAATGATCTAAATAATTCATCCATCACTGCTTTTCAGACTTTCCCCTGTCTTTTCCATCCCTTTCACTTGAAACCTTGAATGTCACATAATCAGTGGAAAGATTCTTAAACACCATCATGCAGCTGCAGGATTGTAAAATGTTTGTTGTGAAATGTTTTTGTTTCCATTTTGTTGCTTTGTGAATCTGTCTTATTCTCATAACTGACCAAATGTAATCAAAATGATGCCTTAAATAGGAGCAGATCTTGAGAAAAAGGGCCAGACTGATTTAAGACGATTTCACTAAACATCAGAAAAATTTAAAGCTGCAGGAGAAGATTTATTCTTTTCTAAAAATATACCCATTATATCTGCCAAAATCTGAAAGCGGGCCCCAAGACACTGATAAGTGACTCTGTTTGGCAAAATGAAACGGTTCTGAAGAGTGTGTACATGAAACTCAAAGGATCCTGGTCTTCTAAATATCAAGTTCAACAAGTCATGACAGCAGAACTCTCTCTCCTCAGGTCGTTCACTTCAGCCTTCCTGTTCTCCATCGAGGTTCAGGTGACCATCGGCTTTGGAGGACGTATGATAACGGAGCAGTGTCCGACTGCAATCACCGTCCTCATCATGCAGAACATAGTGGGGCTCATCATCAACGCTGTCATGCTGGGTGAGACTTGGAAACTGTTTCCCAGTTCAGGGGTCACATGCTTACAAGGAAATGGCCCTCAGAAGACATGAAAATGAGACAAAAACTATAAGGCGTGGGGAAAGAAGTGTGATATTTTACTTAAGTAAAAGTTGCATTACCACCAGAATTACCCATTTTCAGAATATTATGTTGTATTATAGTTATTGATATATCAATGTGTTACTTTAATATACTTTTAATACTTTATATTCTGCTGGGTAGCTTGTGAAATCCACCAAGGGATAAATACCTTTTTATGTTATCTTAACCTATTGTACATCTTAATTTATAAGTTGATTATATTTTGCATTATTAATCTGAATCTGCAAAATAACTTAACTACATTCATCACACAAATGTAGGTGAGAAAGAAGTACAATATTTCCCTCTGAATTGTAGTAGAGTGGTATAAAAGTAGCAGATATAAAGTAACAGAAATTATAGTAGTAAATGTACTTACTATAGTTACATCCCACCACTGTTAACTTAGACAACCAATACATGATGGACCTGCTGACGTATCAGTAAAGCAGACATAAATCCTCACGGCCAGATTAGATCGCTGATTAGTTTCCTCTCCTCAGGTTGCATCTTCATGAAGACGGCTCAGTCAAACCGTCGAGCGGAGACTCTGATCTTCAGCCGTTACGCTGTGATCGCGGTCAGAAACAACCGCCTGTGTTTCATGATTCGTATCGGGGATCTGAGGAAGAGCATGATCATAGGAGCGACCGTCAGGTTACAGGTGATTGTCTAGTTTTTTCTTAAACATCTGCATCCGAGGACAGTCCACAAATCTAATCTGAGAGGAGGAACAAGTGCAAAGTTTTTTAGTATTTAAAACAAAGGTGTAAACATACAGTTGCTGCAAATTTCCATCTCCCACAATCCTTTATGTCTGAGTTCTTCTAATAAGATTTAAGTCATCTGACAATTATTGTTAAACACCATCTGCAGGTGGTGAGGAAGACGACCACACCAGAGGGGGAGGTGATCCCCATCCATCAGATCGACGTTCAGACGGAGACCGCTGTGGCCAGCAACAGCCTGTTCCTCCTCGCCCCGCTCATCATCTGCCACATCATCGACAAAGACAGGTACAAAGAAGCAGGTCCTGCAGTGGTGATGTGGATGTAGTTAAGACAGACTAAACAGAGGTCAGTGATGAGTTTACACGTCCGCTCCGTTCCCGATATCACCCACTAAATGCCAAACCCTAACCCTCCAGCACCCCTGTGACCCCTACCCCCTTTGAGCCTCTGAAGATTATTCAAATGAAACGGTAAACAAAAGGATCATTTCTCTTTGGTTGAACCTCTTTCAGGATAGCATGTAGGTCCTGCAGCTGAGAATGGGATTAGGAGGTGCAAATTTGAGCACTGGATCTTGTATGTAACTCACTACCTCCATCTGCTGGTTAAACACAAACTTACAGTACAAAAGAGAAAACTCCTACACTACAAAGTCATTGTCAAGAGGTTTTGAGTATGTTGTGTTAACTATTGTCAGTTATTATGAATCCTGCTGCAGGAAGATCTCAGAAAAACAAAGAAATAAGCAATCTGAAGAATAGCTGTTTAATGGAGGTTTCTATCACATCTTAGTCTTCATGCTCAATGTTTTCAGCAGCATTTTTGTGTATTCATCAGAAACTCACAAGTAAAGAGATGAAAGGGGAACGGCGCCTTAAATGTGTTTAATCTGTGGAAAAACATTGTGTTGTCTCTTCATAGTCATTTTCTATTGATCTAATCAATTACAGTGGTCATGTTACAGTTAGTGGTGGTGAGGCAGGTTGGAGGACCCAAACACAGGACTCAAGGCAGAGGAGGTACGGTTCAAAAGGTGATTTATTTAACAAACAAAAAGCGAGCACACTTACATACTGAGTGGCTGAGTCCAGAAAAAGCCAAATGAGAAACGAAACACAAATCCAACACAGGTAATCCAAAACACCAAGAGCGGGGAAAAACAGCGAGGCGACACGCTGGACGAGACTGAAGTCACGACTGACAGGGGGTAACACAAACAATGACCGGACCAAGACTGGAGAGAAACACCAAACATATATACACCAGGGACTAACGAGCACGGCGGGAGTAACACAGGTGACAGACATGAGACTAACGAGACACAGGCAGGTGAAAACAGACAGACACCAATAAGACCATAAGGAAACTAATGATAACCAGGAAGAAACAGAGAATAAGTGACTGAACCAGAACATAAGCAGACAGATCACTAGTATACCAAAACTACAACTAACAGGGAAAACAGACTGAACTAAGATTAAACAGAACGCAGGGCAACATGGACAAAATAATATCAAAGTACACGGACCAGGAGTATACACTAAGACACGGATAAAAATGCAGGACATAACTAGAATATGAGACTAGACAGATACTAAGAAAACTTAAAGCGAATGAACAAAATAATAAACTAGACGACAAAACTCCAAACCATGACAATATCAAATAAACACAGGACCAAGAGCTAAGAGAAAAGACAAGACATAAACTACTAAGGACAAGGAACGAGACAAACAGGCAAATAGAAGGACACATGAAACAATGGCAAAAAACTCAGAAACTCACAGGGAAAAACTACAACAGGTCAAGTACATAGATTTCTTGTGTAGCCTACTAACAGGGCAGATTCAGCACATTATCAAAATTAGTACTTAAATCTTTTGTTTAAAAAAACTGTCACAGGTACATACAGTAATATCTATTTTCAGCGGCGGGTTAACACACATCTGTTGCTCTACTTAGAAGGATGGTGTTTGTGGCGCTGGGCCAGAATAAACTACAGTGTGTGTGTTCATGGTGATGAAGCAACAATGAGGCTCAGTGATGGGTTTTTAATAGTTTTTGGACAACAGTGGAGCTCTATGGCTCAGAGGAGGAAGATATATACATACATACAGCCTATACTTGTTAGTATGATCAATTTATTGTTTTGTTAATGGGATTTGTCCTTTAATGTATTCCTGATTGAGCACATTGCATACTCACAACCTGCTAAACATCACTAAGTTGTAGGAAATTGGGACTCAGCTACAGAAACTTATGATGCAGATGCAGTGTGATTATGTCGTACGAATCAAGTACCAATAAAGTACATACAGATTATGTTCACTATGTGGGACATGGGAGTAACAACTGGGCATTTAGGAGGAACAGGTTACATATGGGGAACAGCACTGGAACAGAGGTTTGGGGGAAATGGTTTTAACAACACAGATATTCTGCGAAACCTATAAGGTAATTGTGTTCAGTTATAATATGCCATGAGTTTAATGAATGAATCACTGGACACTGTAAAGACGTAGTTGTGACCTTTTAGTATCTGCTCTCAGCCCGCTGTACGACCTGTCAGCCATGGAGCTGCAGTGCAGCGACCTGGAGGTGATCGTCATCCTGGAGGGGGTCGTGGAGACGACAGGGATCACCACACAGGCCCGGACCTCCTACGTCTCAGAGGAGATCAAGTGGGGTCACCGCTTTGTTCCTATAGTAACGGAGGAGGAGGGCGTGTACTCTGTGGACTACTCCAAGTTTGGTAACCTAGTCAAGGTAAGAGTTAAATTGGTACACAAAGTGTCAGAATAAATAAATATAGGACTGATACTTACTTTGGATACTAACAGTTACTATATTTTAAGTATCCCTTCCTTGTTTAATTGATGATTGATGCTCTTTTCTATTGGTATTGTTACCTTTATCTTACTTACTAATCATTGATTATTAATAATAATAGTATTATTATTAGGCTACAATACTGGCCATCAAAAGAGAAGCAATCTATAATCAGGCATGTGGATTATTGCTCAACATCCTACTGACGTGTGGTAATAATTTGCTAAGGGACAGACCGACAGACATAGCTAACACCTCTAAAAATGTTCTGTTGTTGTTCTTGAAGGTAGCGACGCCGCCCTGCAGCGCCAGAGAACTGGACGAGAAGCCGTCCATCTTAATCCAGACTCTCCAGAAGAGCGAGCTGTCACACCAGAACTCGCTGAGGAAGCGTAACTCCATGCGACGCAACAACTCCATGCGTAAAGTCGCAGGAACCACCGGAAACCTGCGCAGGAACAACTCGGGGCTCGCACCACCTAAAGTCCAGTTCTTCACCCCGACCGAGGGAAGCCAGACCCTGAACGCCGTCACCTGACATGAGGCCTGCCTTCTACTGGCTGCTCTGCTCCTCCTGGTGGGAAGGAGGATTGTGGGTGTTAGTGTGTCTCTTGCTCTGATGGGACACATTGTTTTCCTGTTCCCTGCCTTTTCTAGACTTGTTTCCTACCACTTTTAATGTTAATGTTACTCCATGTTTGTTTACGTACTTGGAGTAATCTAGTTCTTATTAGAAATAACTGTTCAAATAGTTGACGTCTTGCAGTTCAGCCGCACTGTAAACCTCTTCAGAAAATATTTCTCCGCACTGATACAACCACCACAAACCAAAAGTAAAGCATTGTTTCTGTTCATTATCATTAAAGCAAACATGGGGCCTTTATAGCCATTTTACAGTTTTGGGGAGATAAATTTTCTTAACGATTAAAGTCACAGTTTAACTACTAGTAGTGGTAACTAGTGACATCCAATCACTGTACTGTACATGTGTATTTTTCACTTTATTTTGTCATTTTCTGTTGTTTGAGAATAAATGCACTCATTTCATCTGAATGTGGTTTCAATATCTGAAGTGCTCAAATGATCCCGGTGACTAAGTGTGTTAATTTAATAGTTAGCACAACCAAACAAATGCATTATTACACATTTAAAAATGTGTAAATAAAATGGCTATACAAATAAATATATGATTTAATTCTGTATAAATCAACAGATGTATGGAGTATAAATTGTAAAAGGTGGTGTGTGTCGAATAGAGCACAGTAATTTGAAACGTTAAGGATTCATTATTATTTTAATTTGAAGCATATACAGCAGTTTTGCGTTAGGTAAAGAATGGAAGGAAACATATCTCATGAAAAGCAGTGTTGCTCTTTTGTTTTTATGTTATGTACACAATTATTTTTTATTGAACTTATGATTATAGCATTATATCAATGTAACAGTATTTTAATGAGAATTAGATTAGAGATATTTTGCAGTTATCAACATGCACAGTAAATAAAGTTGGAATTCTAGTACCAGAACATAGCATAATATTTTATGCAGTACAATCATTTACATCAATTTTCCAACAAACACATATCTTAAAAATAGAAATAGAAATGCATTAATTTCTATCTCCATGAATGTTGGTTTATTCTTACGTCGCACCACGTGTTTTTGACGTCGTCGATCCCGGAAGTGCGGGTGGACCAGCAGCGAAGGTAAACATGGCTCGTTGTGTCCTGTGCAGAGCTGTCGGTGTATTTCAGCTCAGCAGGACTCCGACACTCCTGACAGGGACGCGTTTGTACTCTCAGACTGAACCGGAGCCGCCGACAGTGAGACAACAAAACGACGGAATAAGGTGCGGTAACGAAATGAGTCCGTCGTCCTTGAATTGTTACTCACAGGTGCTCTCAGGCAGAAACAGCACATTTACGGAGAGAATACAGACTTTAACAACAGCATCAGGTTACAGTGGTACATTCAGTACTTAATTGCACATGCAAAGGTCTTAAGGTAAATTCGGCATAGATGTTATGCCTATGAAAAGTACATTTTTGTAATAAAATGTAAAGAAAGACTATTATGAGAATGTACAGAGCACCGGGAGGTAAGGTCACTGAGGAAAAACTGAAGTTATTAAATCGAGAGCATTAATTCGTTATGACACTTCCCCGGGCTCCTATAAAATGCAGCAAAACAATAGCAAAATATTGCAAATATCCATTAGCCTAAATGTTCTGCATGCTTCAGTTAAAGTGCTGAAGTAATATAAAAAAAAATACTGAATAGCTTTCTCTCACTGAGCTTAGGTTTTTTAGTAAATCATCTGCAAAGCATGTTATCTGCAGCAAGTACAACATTTCTCTTTGCGGTAGAGAGTCAAAGCTCAACGTCTCCTAAAATAAAAATACTCAGGTAAACCACAAGTACCTCAAATTCATTCGTCAATACAGTACTTTAATAAATGTACCTTGGTCTTAGTATTCCTTGTTGAAGAAAGTATTTACTGAAAGTATAAAACATGTTGTGTGTCCATTAGAAGTTAATATGTTTGGGAAATAACTATTCTTTCATTTTGGGTTTCTGGAAAAACATTACATAAATGTATTGACTTTTTTGCTGTGTCATCACCATTTATATCTATACAATGTGTTTATGATCAAATTGTTTAGGCGACTAGAGCACAATATTGTTTACAAGAGCTCAAATTGCACCGGATCAATGCATTTAATTTTCATTAATAAATGTTCATCACTAAATTATTAAGTCTTACTGTAAAAGGTATGTAGCTTTTTGTAAATGACAAAAACAAATTCATAATCTCTCTGGTAATCTTCTGAATAAACCTATTATAATATTCATCTGATTTTGTCTGTAGTATTCAATGCTGAGTTTAAAGTGACTGTCCTGCAGTTCATTCTCATTTTATCTCCTACATTTGTTGTGTCACAATGATAATATTACAGAAACACTGTTATTTTCTTCTTTTTATTGAAACACAGCAAAGATCTGTGCCTTTATGGCTCATTAGTAGAGATTTTCTGTAGTAAAACTTATGTTCAATACACAAAACGCTAATGTTCTTCTTCTTCTACTTCTTCAAGGAGAATAATATTGAACAATCCCAAGAAGAGGAATGCTCTGTCTTTGTCCATGCTGGAATCCCTCAGAGAAAACATCCTAACTGATGTCAACAGTGATGATCTCAGAGTTATTATCATTTCAGGTAAGTATTTATTGTATGTGTTTATAAGTATGTGTGTTTGTGATAGAGAGAGAAAGATGCTGGTCTAACCTTGTAATGTGTGTGTGTGTGTGTGTGTCTGTCAGCCAAAGGTCCAGTGTTTTCCTCTGGACATGACCTGAAGGAGCTGACGTCAGCTCATGGCAGAGAATATCACACAAGGGTGTTTCACACCTGTGCAGAGGTTAGTTTGTCTTGTTTTTCTCTCCCTCATTTCATCACAAGAATAACTTATCAATATTAAATATTTATTAAAAATCTGCTCCCCTGAGTGTCGCTCACCTCTGATATGATGCTGTTTACATATTTAGGAATCAATCATAATGTCACCAGTTCCTGTGAGCTTTAATACAAAGCAAATATAAAGAATAAAGAAGTCATTTTCTCTCATTTTATTTGTTTATTTTTTAATTACTATATATCTATCTGAGTGGCTGAACAAATAGGAAATGTTGGCGGCGATAGAAAGGTTTTGAAGTAGGCTGTCTAAATCTCACACGTACAAATAACTCACTGGCTCTTGTGCTTCAGGTCATGACTCTCATACAAGACATACCTGTCCCAGTGATCGCCATGGTGAATGGTGTTGCCACCGCGGCTGGTTGCCAGCTCGTTGCCAGCTGTGACATTGCCGTGGCCACGGAGAAGTCCACCTTCGCCACTCCGGGCGTCAACGTGGGTCTGTTCTGCTCCACGCCGGCGGTGGCCATCGGCAGAGCTGTGCCGAGGAAGGTAAGAGCTGAACACAGTGAGGGCTTCAGTAGAAAGACACTCATCTTCCATAGGTGTGTTTTTAACCAATTTGAATTTCTTTACGTTGTATTTACTGTATATAGGTGACTGTCTAAAACAAAAATGTCAGACTTATCTGGCTGATGCGCTGATGTCCAAAGAATCTAATATCCAATTGCTGTGTTTATTGCAGGTAGACAGGTTATCACTTTCATACAGCATCCACAAGATCCAAACAGTTTCACAAGGATACAAGCGTCCAACAGCAATAATGTCTATAAAATACGATAATCAGTCTGAACAGCAGTCAGCAAAATTAGGCTTTCCCCTCTCTCTCTCCAATATATTATTATTATTATACAGTATAATAATAATAATAATAATAAAACATGTTTTTTAAATAAAGTTTAGCTATATATTTGTTTTATTTTATTATTTATTTAATATTAACAACAACAGGTCATTAATCATTTTAGTCATTTATCTAGATAATATATCTAGATCTTATATCTTATTTTCTTCTTTTGATTTTGAACAGTTGGTTGGGCAAAACAAGGAATCTAAAGATATCACCTTTAATTAGAGCCCTAGTTTTCTTAAAATATCCTGCTAATAACCTAATAAAAATATCTGAGGTTTCCTTGTCAAACATTTTTGATAATCTTATATGATTACCAGCAGATTTTTTTCGCTATTATTGATATTGACATTGGCAACCACCTACAAAAGTCCAAGACATATTTGCTATTATCTTCCGACTTTATACCAGATTGCGATGGAGATGCTGTTCACAGGAGCTCCCATCTCCGCCCATGATGCTTTGTTGCACGGTCTGGTCAGTAAGGTGGTGCCGGAGGAACAACTGGAGGAGGAGACATTAGCCATCGCCCAGCGGGTGTGTCAGGCTAGCCGACCTGTTGTAGCCCTCGGCAAGGCCACTTTCCAAAGGTGAGAGTTTTTAAAGCACGGACAGACCAATTTTTACCTTTTCCTTGTGGTCATCACTGTTTTTTAAAGTCCACGGATGCTTGAGATGCTTCAAGGGGGTCCCCCAAAAACAAAAAATGCTAACCTCTACTTCAAATTACACCTAATAATCAGTAAGTAGCATTTTGCCATCAGTTAAACATTATCCTCATTTATTAGTGATGTAATGTTTTATCAGTGGATAGATTGTCAGATTGTAGTTGCAGAACGATGATGGTTTTATTAGAGAATGTTTTAGGGCAAATATTGTATTACCATTGTAAAATTCAATACTTAATCAACAAATGTATGTCAATATGGGGGACCCACAGATCAAATATTATCAAAAACTATACATTTTCTATAATAATCAGGATTCCTTATGTGAAGACATTTGAAACATTGTGATTAATACATATAAATTTCCCTTCGAATGTTTTGTCCTCCCGTTTTTTATTTCCTCCAAAGACAAATGGCTCAAGGACGAGATGCAGCGTATGCTACCGCCTCCAAGGTGATGGTTGACAACCTGGCTCTAAGAGACGGACAGGAGGGGATCCAGGCCTTCATAGAGAAACGCAAGCCAGTGTGGAGTCATAAAGCAGAAAAGGCCCATGACAGATGAACAGGAGATCACTGCAATGAGCTCGTCATTATCCTTACTGGTACACATGGTTTTCAGATACCTGTGTGGAGTAATTAGCACCAGTCACAAGCCAATGTATGGGCTATGCTACTAGTGAAATGTGAAATTTAAATTAAATAGTTGACTTGTTAATTTCCTCCTTTTTGGTGAGACTAAAGATAAGTAGCAGAACCATTGTGTGCCTTGCAAGCTGGAGTGTGGACACGAGAAGGAAATACACTCTTATCATCCAGAGGACCCAACATGTTAAATGACACAATGGACTCAAATCTTAAGAATACTGCTCTCTGTATGTATAAAGTTAAATGCAAAAAATAAGGTTACAGATTGGTAGGAGTTTTGTCAAACATCCAGCGTTCTGTAAATAAAAGTGTACTTAATTTTTTGCCGAACAATGGTAGTTGACGTATGGTTTGAACTCGTCCAAGGCTTGGATGGACATGAAAATATTACAGCAAAGTAATATCTGGTTCTATGATAAAATGTGATAGGTACAAGCATGTGTGATTTAAAAAGTAAGGAGATAATTTTGTATTGTGGGGTGTTTTTTTCCCCCCATTTAAAATTTATACAGTTCTGATTGACTTTACTGGCAACAGCAGCTGTACCAAACTGAGTGTAAAAAAAAGCGATGTTGGAGTAATTAAAAATTATTATCAAATGATAATAAAGCTATACAATCAATAACTAGTCATTATATTAGTATCCTCAGGACACTGAACTTTGTAATGGGAAATGTTTCAAACAAATACTTCCAATTGAAGTCCTACAAGGTTGCCATCAAGTATGATTAAAAGCCACACATTTCACAATACACAAAGGACAGTACAAGTATATGAAATTGACAATTTTTAGTTAGGCCTCCAGTAGTTGATTGGCTACCAGCTGACATGTCTTAGTCATAAATGTACTTAGGTGAAAACCAAGATATTTTCAATAAAAAATGTAAAGTATATTTGTTTTATATTTGTTTATTCTGTACTATTTGCAAATGTGCGTATATAATAACATGTAGGTTAAAGCATTTAGTTTTTTGTTTATATACCGGTTATGTCACATCCGGTCGCCATCTTTGTTTTAATGGTAACTAAACGAGTAAAAATTATTTTTCGGGAAGAACAACTTTGGAACCAAATAGACAGAAGAGTGAATGAGGGCTCAGGAAATACTTCCCAAACAGCGGTAAGTCTTGTTTCACGACCTTCTAGGATTATGAAAGATCACCAGTGATTTATATTTGAGAAATGTGTTTTTTAGCTGGTCGACCGTTTGTCACACTAAAGTTAGCTAACTTAGCCGTTAGCCACCATTTTATGTCGGCCATTTAAAAACATAGACTGTATATAGGTTTTAACTTGCCATGCTGCTTGTGTTTACATGTTTAATGCCTTGCCTCAGTTATAAAGTATGTTTTTCCCCCCGTTAAATGTCACCAAGTTATGCTTCTGCTGTTGTTGTTGGTGGTGGTTACCTTCAGTTTTGCTGCTTGCATAAAGCTACAGTAATTTACTTTGTTAAGTGCATTGTTTGCTTTGGATTCCCTTCTTGCTTGGTAGTGAATGATTGATGCCTTTAGTGAGTATGTTTACTTCATAAATGCTCCTGGCTGCAACCTGTGCTTTATTGATTTGCTTTATTGATTGTGAAATAATGTAATGTACACTCATTTCATGGTAATGAAAACCTATGTCAAAATCCTAATTTTTGTAATCAAGTTTGATTGTAGCAAGGCTGCAACTAACCATTATTTTCATTATCAATTAGTCTGCCAATTTTCTTTCCATTAATCATTTGGTGATATGTCAAAAAATGATTAATGCACACATTATTTCAGCTCCAGATTGTAATTTATCCCCATTAATAGAAAAAAAAGTCATGTCTGTGACTCCATGAAAGTAGGTACAAGGTAGATTTATGTCATTTTCCAACACAGGTTTGTATTTTGAGATGAGGCTAACTCACAAAGAACAAACAATACACAAAGATTCTATACAGAAATAAATGTATTTTACATGGTGCAGTACTGAGAATAAATTAAGGAGTCTCACAGGGGGAAGAACCTCCTCTGCAGTCTGGTGGTACTCTCATGCCACATGGCAGCAGGGTGAACAAGCCATGGCAGGGGTGGGTACTTGCCTTTAGTATCCTTTGGCCAGTTTTAATCACTCGCCGCAGAGCCCTCCTGTTGTGGGCCGTGCACATCCCAGTATGTGATGTTTCCAGTCAGGATGCTTTCTATTGCTCCTCTGTAAAAGTTAACCAGAATGTGACACGGAAAATTTGCCATGTTGTATTTGTTTAAGAAATTCAGCGGGTTTTTTTTCGCTTTCTTTACCAGCGTGCAGATGTGGGATGACCACTGATGTAGCTGAGTGTGTGTCTGCCTCCTTTTTCCTATAATCAACGATCAGCGCATTGATTTTGCTGACATTGAGCTGTAGGTTGTTCTCTGTGCACCAATCTGTGAAAGATTTTTCGGTTTCCTCCCGAAATGATCATTGTTGTTTGCTATCCGGGCAACGAGGGCGGTGTCATCCACAAACTTTACAACAGAGCTCTCTCCATGTCGGGGTTGCAGTCGTGGGTGTACATCGTGAGTAGGGGGCTGAGCACACAGCCCTGGGGGGGTTTCGGTAGGCAATAATTAATAAATAGTAATATTCTTAATAATTTTCTCATGCATATTTGTTTAAATTTGAATGTTCTGCTTGTGTTTGTCTCGTTGTGACTATAAAGAATATTTTAAAACCACAATTAACCATCTGGTTTTACTAAGGAGCAAAAATCAGCCTTTAAACTTGAAAGAAATTAATGATTTTATTGTGATTAATTATTTATATCAAGTTATATGATTGGCCATATTGCCCAGCCCTAGTTGAAATTTAGTTGATGATTCTTTTGGTGTGGTCTATTAATTACTGATAGTAATATTTATTGTTGGTTCTGAAATAATTAGTCAGTTAATTGATTGACATTGAATAAATTGGATTTTGCTTTTAAATGAATTAGTTGTTAAACTCTGGCGCTCTGACTCTGATGCTTGATTGTAAATGGAATATGTTTTTGGGTTTTGGACTGTTGACTGTGGGCCGTCACCTGGGGCTTAATGAAATTGATGATCATTTTCTCACTTTTATAGACTAAATGATTAATCAAGATTTGACAGATTAGCCTAATTGATATTGAAAACAATTTGTGGCAATATTGTCTATGGACATTTTCTGCTTTATACCTCAGAAGGGCTTCACTAGCGTTTAAGGGAAATAGAAAAATGTAAGATGGCAACAGCTCTGTTGCTTTGGGTTAACCACACTGCCGAACAGTGGTGGAAATTAACACCTGCCAAGTGCCAAATGCGGGTAGGTTTTCCATTTGGTGGCTAAATGTTGGAAGGCTACCCACCACATTGGCGTCTAAACGTATTCGGTGTGATATCGCCATATAATAGCTTTTTGATGGTACCTAACAGCAGATCAGCGTTGTTTTTTGTCGTGTGTCGCACTTAAATTGGTTCATTGAAGCGTTCATTGGTTGTTTATGTTGATTTCAGGTTTCTTGTGTTTGATTGGCGTAGATATGTAGGGGGGTGGGCGTTAGGGGACTGGAGTTGGGAGTTATCAAGTCATGCTAGGAGTACGTGATGTGTTTTTAGCATTTATCTAGCCAGCTACCTGTCAACCCTCCCGTTTTCCCCGGGCTTCTCCCATATTTTACCGTTCTCTCCCGGTGTCCTCACATTAAAATATGTCCCTGTAAATATTTTCCGTTGATTTATACCCGTTTTTGCTACGTTCCACTCCATTAAAGCCAGTGGCAGCATGTAGGACAGCTTTGTAACAGCTCCCGCAAATAAAACAAGAAGAATAAAACCAGCGTGACGGGTTCAGAATGGATGATGCGTTGCTAAACAAAGTATTTCACATGCATTTGCCCCTAAAACAGATGTGTGCGAACCAGAAAAATAATACTGTACAATGTGCAAGTAAAAACTGCAACCTACAGTTATTTTGTGCATGAATGGTTATGATTTTTTTGTTAGTACTTAGCATTAATAAATTACAGACCAATGACTGTTTTTCTTGCATACAGATTTAATAAATGAAAACAACCTACATTTAATATTAGGCCTATAGTAGTGAAACACTATATATGCAGAAGCAGAACATTAAAAAAAAATAAAAAATTAATTGACGAGGTTTAAGTTGAATGATGGGCTAATGCGAGGTGGCAATGGTGCAAGACTATGCCTTTGGTGTGAGACCCGGGTTCAATCCCCCACTGTAACCCATCCACCATTGTGTCCCTGAGCAAGACACTTACTCAACCCCTAGTTGCTCCAGACCTCTGACATGTATAGCAATTGTAAGTCTCTTTGGATAAAAACGTCAGCTAAATGAATAAATGTAAATGTAATGCATGATTAAAAGTGAGCAGTGATGAGATTTAAGTTGAATGATTAATAAGCATCATGTAAGTATATGGAACAATTTACTGTTATGTCTTAAGTACATTTAATAACAATAAATTACCTTCAAATTTCACCAAATATGGTGTCTTCTTTAAGTTTGTATTTCGCAGAATACTTTATTATCTCAATTTTACAGTACTGAAACAAATGGCAAGTTGTTATTTTGGCCGGTAACAAATATGTTTGGATTTTTTTTAATCCACCAGTCCCATTGGCAGGTGACCCAAAAAGTCCTCCCGAATATAAATGAGTTGGGATAACTGTTTCGGGGGAATTTTTCTCCCATTTACTAAAGATCTCTCTTCCTCCAAATAACAAATCTCTAACTGTTCGCAAAAAAAGTTCAGTGGTGAAACTGTTTCTCCATTAATTGGCAACAAATTTAATAACAGATTTAAAATCAGTTAATTATTTTTTTGTTGAAAAAAGTAAATGCCAGACACCTGCTGGCACCAGCTTGTGAGATGATTTGCTGCTTCCCTCTGTTTCAGGTTGTAGTTTTACTGAAGTGTGTGTGTGAGAGTTAATCGGAGGTGAAAAACCAGGAAGCTTTGCCAGTGTAAACATGGTATTGAGTTCAGCCTTGTCATGCTGAACAAATAGTTTTTTAAGCCTTACTAAGGAAAAGCAGATTGTAGTTCCTCATAGATGTATGAAGGTTGTTGGAAAAACTTTATCACAATCACAGGAATGAAGTGTAACTAAAATCTTTTTCTTTCGAAAAAACTGTGGGGCAGCAAGCAACTAACGATTGTTTTCAATCTGGTCTGTTATTTTTTCCATTAATCAGTGAATCGTTTATTTAAAAGAACTCAGTGAATAGTTGTGAGTGCCATGTCATCATCTTCCAGACCCCAACCTAATGTCTTTAAATTGCTTGTTTTGTCTGACAGTCTAAGGCCTAAAGATGTTCAATTTAATAAGATATTACAAGGAAGCGGCAAATTTACTTTAATAATATATTAGGGCTGAAACGATTTATCGATTAAATCGATTAATAAAATGCTTCGACACAAATTCTTTGCATCGATTCTTCGTTTAATCCATGTAACTATACAGCACAGTGGTTCGCACGGCATTTATTTATTATATTATCGCACATCGCGCTTACGCTGTGAACACGACAGGATTATAATGTAGCCGTTTGCAAAGTGGAGAAAGAGAGAGAAAATGGCGAGGGACAAAGAAGAAAGTGTCCAAAGTTATTATTTCATGCTAAAGAAAACAACAACTCTGTAATGTTACCGTCTGTCCACCGTAAAACAACAACTGCACGGCTATCGGGCGACGCTTTAAAGTCGTGTAGGCTGCACGAGCCTTTAATATAACTTGTATAGCACTGGGGTGATATGTGTGTTTGTAAAGCGGCTGTCTAGTAGTTGGCCTGATGTTTGCTGTATGACACAGTATGAATTTACGAAAGGACTAATAAATATCTATCACCTATAAACGTGCACAGCTGATCCCGTTACGGGGGGGGGGCGC